ACTATTTACGTCAATCGCATTTTAGTTTTCAATCAATCATGTATGAGAGTTCTCGTGGCTGTGTGTTTTCGCGGTTTTCTAGCCAAAGATCGTAGCTATTGAAAGTGATAGTATCTCTTTCGCGATTCCTTTCTTGAAATGTCTTTGAGCCTAAGTTTGCAGTGAGAATTTTTGAACTGAGAATTTCCCTCCAAATTCATTTGCGAAAAATGAAAAATCGTAGTTTATGCCTTTTGCATCTTTAGGTTATGATTTCTGAAGCAGAACTACGATATCAGCTCAAGTCAGTTGAAGCTACCCATTGTTTGAACATTTATGACTCTTTTATCTCAACAGCTTTGTGCACCTTCAGTCCGCAATGTAGGCTTAGCTCCAATTTAAATTCAAGAACAAAACGAATCACTAGCTGTTCATTATTGTAGGTTTCAAATCTTGAGTTACTCTGCGAGTGGGAAGAGAAGCTTTTTGAAAAAAGAAACCCAAGTTAGCTGACAAAATCTTTGAACAAAGACAATCTGAGACGCTGAATCTAGCTTTAAGGCTTGCAATATGCAGCAGATTATTGTTCATTATTCACGTCGGACATACCATAATTTGGACTCCCATCCTCAAAAATTTGATTGCACCATTGTGAAAGTTTTGCAAAGTCTTAGAAGTCTAACTTCAAAGTTTGCTTGAACCACTGATCTAGATGTCTTGAATTTTTGTAATCGTTCCTGGAGACCTAAGCCTTTAGTTTGAACGTTTCAGGAGCCATTAGGCCTTGACGTCAACTTGGTGCTTTATATCTTATTCCGCAATGCTTACTGAGTCATCACGGTTTTGATTGCTCATTTATACACAATTCGGTGCAACTAACTTCCACGTTGCACCAGATGTTACAATATTTGAAAAATTAGTCATAAACCGGTGAGTCAAACGAATTTTATACCTGGGGTGTATGAGTGCTTTATGAATTTTTGACTCACTCACTTTTAAGGTGATTAAATATTGTTAATCCATATCTTGGTGGCTGACTAAGTATCTTCTATCTCCAAAATGTTCTGGACGCTTCTTGCATGTTCGAACAGATAATCAATAATTTTTAGGAGACAAAAGGTCATTATGTGTAATGATTTATAGAGTGATGATCTTTAGTAAACAAGTTATGGCTAAGTATATGTTGCATTGGTTATAGTGCTAGGTCCATGTGAACGACCTTGCATCGAATTGTTGATTCACTTTTATCAATTTTTTTTATTTTTCATTTTCTTTGCCCGAATCTAACTTTATCTCATTTTTTTCCGATATAGCCCCCCCCCCCATTTACAAAGTGGCAGTGATGTAAGCCCTCTTTTGCTAGCATTCCAACCATCATAAATCGTTGCTGAGTTTTCGAGCGCTGATAAGCACGAGTTTATCGATGATCTCACTCGAGTCATTTTTATCATATCGTCTGCGCCCCAGAGAGGTTCCCATAGGTACCACGTCATCTCGCTGTCTTTCGTGGGTGTATGTCGAAAGGCGCGCGTTCCCTAAGCCTTCATTTCCAGACTAGATCAGTTCTCTACAACAGTGAGGTTTCCAGTTTCCAAGACTTTTGGTAGTATAATACATTAGAAAGCGTAATGGAGGATAACCAGTTGAAATCGGAAAGTATTGAAATAAATTTGAACTTATTTCTTGCTTCTCCCAATTAATGACAATCGATCAATACGCGCCATTCGACCGTCTCCCGTCTTTGGTACCTTTGAACGTGTTAACCTTAGGCACTTCCGTTGAAATCTCAGGATAAAGTGTCAAAAAGAGCGAAAGGCAGCGTCGCACCACGTACGCACGCTGGTTCACATGGGAATCTCTCTGGGGTGCAGACGGTATGTACAGCTGGCCTAATTTCTTTCCACACTCGAGTTGAGTGCTCGACGCCATAACCAGTTCCAGGTCCGACAGCTGGTTCTGTGCCAGCACTTTGTATTTTGCCCAATTTTTTTCTAATCAAACATCTGTCAGTGCACATTGCGTAGATAGGATAGATTTGCTTGTCCGGGCAAAACAAGCCTCACCATTACTTAGAGTTCGCTATTCTTTCGCATTACTGCCAGTTGATCCCCGTATTTGAAAGTATTTTGATCTTAAATGCCTTCTTTTTTCGCAACTTTTGTTATCATATCCTCAGTTTGCCCCTAAGCATGTTCATCTTCCCTTAACGCATAACATCATTTTACAAGTCTACAACCAAGAAAGAAGAGCAAGGCATCAGTTTTGTTCCATTGTTCTATCCCTGTGCAGAAGGACAGTCGTTGAGCAGGTTGAGAGATAAAAGTGTGAATTTTGCTGTGTAATGAGGCTGTATCGCGTATATTTCCTTTCATGTATCATGAAATGATAATATTCGCAAGAAGTTGTACCTGTCAATATCGTAAGTTTTCACCTGAACAACTCAACGACCCAAAATGTCAGAAAAAATGCTCGGTTTTGAAGAAAAAACTCGGGAAATCGAGTACACATCGGTGCTTCCATAAACCTTGAGTAGTTACCCCATTCTTGTATAGAACCTTGATGAATAGGTGCCTTTGCCTTGTACTTTTTGAATACGAGAAATTGGGGTTGCCCCGGGTTTTCATTGGGCAGCTCCTTATATGACGTCATTCGATAGAAATATTCATTTTCTAATCTTAATCCCCATTTTATGCGAAATCATGGCGTCATTTGCTTTAGAGCATCTTTCAGTCTTCGCTCCTTCTTTCTCTCAACACAAAAATAACTCCTTTTATGTACTAGATCGAGTCAGGATCTGAAATTAAAAAAGTTTTTTCTCGCTGCTCATATTTTTAGCAAACATTCGTATCTATTCTTGTTGCTTAATAATATTCACAGACTGTACAAACTGAGCTTTTTTCTTTCTGCTCTTATTCTCTACAGAGAATTCGTACACAACGACAATGATCACCCGTACACTTAATGCTGTGCAAACTGGACTTTTTGCTATTTGTTTAGCGATTTTCGAATGTAGACGTAGTGTTTTCGTGATCGTGTACTTGCACTTCGAGTGTTGTAGTGTGTACATTTGGATTATCCTTTTTGCGTAGCAACCTAGTCCTTGGCAAACCCGCTCTTATACGTCTCGTCTGCGTGGTACGAGCTTCACCGCTTTTGCATTTTTAGTATCTGATTGCAAAAGCTTGTCGTGTTCTAATCAGAGCTGTTTTAAACAAGATTGTTGATCATCAGCTCATATTGGGTGATGAATAAATGACCAAGCAAGATCAGGTATGTGCTCGGTCCATAAGTTTTGCACCAAAAAGTGCTTGGAACCAATCCAAAGACCTTTAAAACCATACTTTGAATTACACTTCATATCTGGCCAAGGCTCGGCACGAGCTGGCACCAGGGAAATTTCAAAACGAAATAGCCTTTGATCTTGAAAATTTCGTACGAAGTCCTTTTTGACCCTTATCCCTAAACGTAACAATGCTTTCAAAAAAACGAAACTTCGGCGAAAAAAGCGTTGCAATTTTTGTGTCTTCTCGACCACGAAAACTACATCCCCTTTGCTTTTTGTCCCGAAAACGATATCCAACTTGACCCGGTGCCAGCCCTGTATCTAGCTTACAAAAAGTGCTCTACTTTATTATATATATTGGAAATATTATTTAAAACAAAATTCAAATGTCGAGCAAAAAAATGCACTCAAAGCATAATTGAGAATAAAAATTTTTTGCACTCTTAAAATCTCAAAAAATTGCATTTTGTTTCTCCTAACCAGCATGTCTCACCATAATATGTCAAAAAAAATTCTTAGAACACTTTCAAAGAGCAGATGATTCTCTCTATCTACACTGGTTAAACTGAATGTATTGGTTGCAAAAACTTACGATTTTTGGTATTTTAGTGCAACCTATAAGCTAGCCAAACATCTGCTGAACTCACAAAAAAATCAGACTCTGAAAACAAAATTGAATAGTCTCTTGTTTGTCAACTCTTTACTCTTAATTCTAAATTCATCTCCTTCATCTTGTGGATATTTCCGAGCGCTGGTAACCACCTATTATTTTTGCAAAAATCAAAATGCAATGACTCATGGACATGGTGCATCTATACTGTAATGACAGCTGGCTTTGATTAAGCAGTCAGGCCAAAGTAATAAATTGTGAGCTCGTGCAGAAAGTGATATAGACCCTGTTTTCACTGTTCACTATGTGCTTCTCAATATCTTGAAATTTTTTCAAACATCGATTGACTTGACTTCTCGTGTGAATGTAAATAGATGGAAGTCTTCCTCCCAATATTTTATAGCTCCTGATGTTTGAAACCTGGCTACTGCCGATTCAATTTGCACAAGGATGCCAGCGCATGACATCTGCTTCTCAAATTTCCTTTTCAAATTGAATACCTGATTTTGAAAATTCACCGTAATGAAGCGCTCATAAGGTGAATTCTTTTCCATAGATAATGACCCCTTTTGCGCTTGTCAGTATGGGTATGACACAAAACTAAAAAAAGTCAAATCCAAGTAAGTGAACTGATTATATTGAAATGCGATGAAGTGTTTCCCCTCAGAGATGATCTTTTCGCTTAAAGTATCCGTTTATCTTTTCCCCATCTCACATGTGATTGAAAAACGGAACAATGACGTGAACTTGATCTTATGATCTTTCTCTATCTCCGCGATACTTAGCGTAACAAAACGTCAGAATTGGATCCTCATCATCTCTCTGTCATTTGCTTTTCACTCAGCAGTTTCCTGCTTACTTTTTTCCACTTTTTTCAATGAAGAAGCCTAATCCTAAACAAACTCACTTTTACTTGTCAAGGATTCATTTTGTCACTGTCTTGGTCTGATGGATGAGTGAATTGCCAGGTTTGCATCCGGCTCATCAGTCTGGCTTTCTTTTACGACTGTTTTACTTTTTTGGTCGACAAAAGCACGTCTTCCTTCTTTTTATCCCCTTTTTATCGCGACAACTGTTCTTCGATTGCGAATCGCGCTCGTCTCTTATCAAACCACGATTACTTCTATCGTTTCAGAGAATACTAACTGCTTCTGAACTACTAATGTCACGTTCCGAGACGTCATCGCCTCCGCCAACACCGAGCCATTCACCCATTCCCATCAAGGGAGGGTATCAGTCTCCACCTTGCATATGCGGCTCGGTACCTTTGGCTTCACTTTCTGCCAACACTTTGGCTGATAGCCTGGGAGTTTCTCCGAAGTATAAACAGCAGGAGTAAGTAATTTACAACTACAGTCTAAATAGGTTCAACGGTTGAAATAGTGCTTTCGTGGTGCAGACAACATTTCCGCGCAAAAAATGGCTACGGAGCGCATATTTTGAACCTTGCGCCCCATTGTGTTTTTTCACGCGCAAATGTTGTCGACACCGCAGGGGCACTATATTTAACATCGAATCTATTAGCGTATCGTCGGCCTGTGCATGAATATGACTTTGCTCAGAATAAAACCCCTCTTTTTCAGCTCTGCACGATGGACTGCTGCTGCTCAGTTTTATCACAACTCACGAGCTCATTCACCTACCCAAGACGGCCAGTTCAGCTTCCCGGATGTTTCGGCTGAAAACATGTGGATCAATCCACAACAACTTGTCTCTAGCTTCATCCAAAAGAACACAGCTATCAGGTAAGACTTTGCGCATCCAAAGAACATTCCAAGTAAATTTAGAATGACAGCTACTGGATTTTTCAGGACACCACTTTCGCTGGAGGACATTGCTAACATGAATAGAAAGCGGCATATCCAGGTATCGTCCTCTCAACGTTCCTTATCTCTTTTTTCTTATCTCTGTATCGATTCTTCTCATGAACATAGCGAGCTTGATGAGTCTCACTGTTACTTTTTTCTTGAAAACCACTTTTTTGTTGTCCAGAAGTTCTTTTTACGGGAATAAATTTGTGGCGCTGGTCTTTCTTTTACAACAGCATTATCAGATTTTCCAAAATATGATTTTAGGAGGGAGGCATGATTCGCAGTGGTGGGGCCGATGGCCCGTTGGAGTTGGAAGCTATAGCTGCTGTTCATGAATTGTCACATGAAGTGCAAGACATAAGTGTATCAGAAATGCTACCAAGAACTAGCGATCTGATCTTTGTCAATGTGAAAACACAAGAAGGTTAGCAACAAAAACGCTTCATTTGCAGTATCGGGTCCTCAATTTTAATTATTCAGGGCAACCCTATACGCTGGAACTAACACTCAAAGGTTGGCGGATTGCTTCATCGCATACAGATTGCATGAATGGTGACTATACAAAGGTATGAAAAGATTTCGTTAGTATGTATCTTCAAGTCATTATGTGAGCCTGCACACTACACGTGGTAACCAACGACAGCCTTATAAATCCTCAAACTTCTATAGCTTGACAGTTGTAGAGTACCACTAATTAAAACATACTTAGTCAAATCAAAAGAGGCAAGGAGAAACCGCTGGAATTGAGTATATTTATTGCAAGTCGTCAAGTAGCGCGCGCGGTGTGCAGTACGCATATTAAGTCAACAATGACTCGTCTAAAATTTTGTAATGTTCTATTATTCCGCTTCTTCGTCAGTCTTCCTGCTTGTCATTGAATTTTAATTCGTCGTAGATCTTATACCATTCCTTTTAGGTCGATCTTCACACTCGTTACTTCCGCAACGCTCGTGAATTGCTCAGTTTTATCTCACCGGATCATGCAACACGCTTCAGCGAATGTTTGGCTAGTAAACTCAATGCATTAGCGGCTAGTGTGAGTAAAATTTGTTTATAAATGAGTCGTCTGCCGCAGGGCTGGGTGCCGTTGCGGACATCTCTGCGCTCTCATGTATCCTGCGCACTCTCAGCACTCTCATTGTATATAGTTTCTTGAAAACATGAATCTCCAGCACGCAGGCGCCTATTTTTGTGTCCGATGACTCACTTTTGTAGGGCAATGCCTTGACAAGATCGTTTAGCATTAGATTTTTTCTCTATTTATATCTTTCAATGCTTTTCAGGACCCGACAGTCGTTGGCGCCGCCAGCTAATAACCCGAATGCACCAAAGAGTTCGGATGACTACGTCTGAATTCGCCGGCTTTATCAGCAGAGCTTTTTTCTTCTTAGAACTTAGATCTGAGAACGTGTACACATATTTGTTCGATTACCGGTTGAAAAGAATCGTCGCTTCGTAATTTCGAAGTCTCGCTGTCGGCGAAACAAGGAGAATCTCGACTTCCTCAAAGATCTGACCAAGCCGGATGTTGATCTACGAAAGATGGCGAGACTTCTTGCAAAATTTCTTTGCTAAATTGTGATATCTCTTTCTCCTGGTATCCTATAGTATGTAATTGTTAATAATTTATGTGTGGTGTCGCCCACCCCTTATCTAATTAGGTTTTATATCAGTTTTATTACAAAAAGAACCATTGAACGTTATCTGTTCATTGCTATTTGCACGAAAAGCGGTTCTGATTGTGCCTCACAGGTGCTTTACAGCATTTCCCAAAAAACAATTACCATTGTGTGATGTTGTATTCAATAAAATTGAAGCTTTGTGGGTTTTCAGTGCACCCATCCCAGTATGACGTGCTTGCTTTGTAAATCACATAACATTACAGAGTCATTTCTGTTACTTCATTATAATCATGCCTTCGTGGTTTACTGATCAGGTCTAGGGATTTGGTCAATTCGTAAAAAAATGCTGGTAGCGGATTAGTTCGGCTAGGATTCCCCAGTTGGTTTTCACATAAGAAGCCTAGGTGAAATCTAGCGGGAACGAACTTCAGCAAAAAGGATAAAATGTTGTGTTGGCCACAATTTACAAAATATGCTGCGAATTTTTTTTTGCCGAGAGAACATCAAAAAATTTCCTGGGAATACGTTAATGGTGTTACGCCGATTGGCCATGCCTTTCGTAACATTCTCCGGAACTCTCCTTAATTGGCACAAGTATATAGTGAAGAAACGGGTGTGGGTTTCGTCATTTCGGAAGGAAATTCTTTCATAAAAGTCATGGAAGTATATCGATTCCTTAAAAATACATAGATTCCTCTCAGCCAACGAGAATTGAAATAATTTTATCGCGTTATATCGCAACTTCTATGGAGCACACCTTTGAAAATTTAGGGCTCATGCGGATGGAGTAGAGAAGGAATAGTCACGACTGAACGAGAACAGTGGTTTATGACATTCGCAGACAATTCGAAAATGCTTTGAACTCCATTTATTGCATTTCATGCGATAGCGAAACCTTACAAGGGAAAGATGCTTGGCTGAAGTGGCGTTTCCATAGGAAATGTATACTGTTTATATGGCATGGAATGCTGATTCCGAGTCTGCTTTCGTTATCTAGCGCTTCTGGAAGGGAAGTTATGAAAAATTTTTGACGCAAAAATCTCAAGGCGCAGTTACAGTAAAATCATTCAAAGCTGTAGTCTGTAAGCCATATGGGGTTATGATTACTGTCAGGGCGCTGTACGGTTAATATCTTCGGTGTAATAAACTTAAATTAGCCGTTACTTCATTCAAGCGCAGGAAATACCTCAGCACTCGTTTTCACCTCAGCAAAACCTTGAATTTTTACCGTAAATTTTTCTCATAACTCCTATCCCAGAAGCGCTCTGCTGATACCGAAAGCAAATTTGGAATTAGCGTTCAAAGCTCTATAGGAAGGTATCTATCTATCTATCTTCATCTACACCTTATATGGAAACTGCACTTCGACCAAGTATTCCTCCCTTGTTAGTCGCTTAGTCACATGATAGATCTCGCTATCACTATGTGCTTTCTCTGACTGGGTTGCTCAGAATCAGTCATACTTTTTCAGATAAAGGTAATATGGATTTTTTGAATGAGCGCTGCTTTGTCGTTTCAGCCAACATCTTTATTACAGCAGCGAGTTGCAAAGATCCGAAGCGGAAGAAAAGCAAGTTCAAAGCTCAAGGGAGATAGTCAACAGCACATCGCATGAAACCCGATTTTTATAACAAATGCTTGCACAAATTATAAAAAAATGTGAGAGGACCCCATATATTTCCTTAACCTCGATATACACGGAACTGCTACCCTGGTCGTTGATCTTGATTCGATTACAAATTCTAGCCAGGGAAGGATCACAAGTCGCAGTGGCGAACTGAATTGTAACGCAAATTACTGGATACCTCCTGATGAGTTGATTCAATCTACCTTTCATTCATATCTGCTGCGCACTTCTTCAGAAGAAGTCATGGGCGTTCAGAAGTGCAAAGTTATTGGGTTTTTGTCGCGGATTGGGCCCCCGGCTCCCGACGTCAGTGGTACAATGGCTCTCCTGCATCGAGGGGAGCCAGGGCTCAGCACCGTGAAATAATGGAACGTAACGTGTGAGGTGGCTACCTGTGCAAATGCTCATTGTGCCTGCCACATGGGAACTCCAAACACACTTAGGGGCCCTTGCCACCAGCCTGCTTAGTATTGACTGGTCACTTGGGACTCGACCCAGGCCTCCAACCATCGACAGCTGGGGCGTGTGCTCATAACCGCGGCACTTAACTAGTATTGTGCCAGCCTTCCTACAGATGTTACCCACTAGGCTTGATTATGAAACACATGCGAATACAAATATACCCGGAGCCACAGCCGTGCTGTGGTCACCGCTCCAACACACATCACACTTGCACAATGCCTACCATTTATCCGCAACTTATCTCTACACTCAAACATACAGGATGAGCACAACCGACGAGATGTCATCCTAGGGGCCGGCAATATCGGAAACCCCCCGAGGCGGTGTCGCCGGCGTGTGCCAGGCGCGAGCGCGCTCGGGGTTACCTTGTAGCGTGGGAGCCAGTCCTCCGTGGCGTTGATGGAAGCGACGCGTGAGATGGGGTAGCGCTGATCGATCGATGGCTTGAGACGAATGGAACCCGACCGCTCACGATGGCGACAGCAGCGAAGAATGACTACGTGACTTATTTAAACGCTGCGCAGGTAGAGGTGAGAGGCGGGACAGCGTGAGGACGGCGTTTTGGGACCCTTCGCAGCGCGGCGGCGGCAACCTTTGAAGGAAGTCGCGAATCCGCGACAGTTTTTAGTGCAAAATGTACTCTGAAAATCATTGGCAGTGCATGATAAGCATAGCTTTGAGGCAAAAAGCGCTGAATGTTGCCAAATCTGGAGTTTCAGAGGCTCGTGGCTAATTCTGGATCACCACTCAATAAATGCGGAAATTAGATATGTAATTTCAATGCTTTAATGTTATGCATTTCCTGGGCCTGGCACCAGCTGGCTCGGGGCAAGCTGGATATCGTTTTTGGGGCAAAAAGCAAAGGGGGTTTCGTTTTTGTGGGTTTTTTTAAGATTTTAGAGGGGATATCGTTGAAGATCAAAGTGGACTTCGTAAAAATTCCCAAAAGTCAAGGGGGACTTCGTTTTGAAAATTTCCTGGTGTCAGCTCGTGCCGAGCCCTATGCATTTCGTTCCAGATCATTACGCGACTTGGGATCCTTCACTATGGCGGTCCCAGATTTGCGTTAGGGGAGGGTGTAGTGAGCGATAAAAATTTTTTCGAGTTAAGGTACGTGGCATCAGCTATGCATTCCTGATTGTACGTATTTTACCACCTAATCCAGTCATAAGTCGGATGGTGAATTTCTTAGACTTCTCTCTTTAGCCACTAGACGCCTGGACACCCGGAAGAAATTTCTCTGACATGGGTCTTTTGCATTTCTCAAAATTTCACAATCAAGTCTCTGCCGGAAAACATTTTGAAAATGGAATATAATTTCTACTGCTTATTGCTAGCAAAAATCTGACTGAATGCAATATGCTACTGGTCTTTCTTTTAAGCGCAAGAAATGGATGAAGTAAGTATGGCACGTGCCTTCATTAGAACTTGTGTAGCTGACTGCTTAAAATCATCCTGTGAAACTCTGACTTAAGGCCGCAAATTCATCGACAAGCACGCATCTGGTAGTGTAGAGGCTTATGTGCCATTAATCGGAAAATGCTATTGCTTTGCTGTGCTGAACTCATCACCAAAACAAAACTATCGGAGGATTAGACAGCGCTCGGCACGAGGTGGTGTTCCTTACAAGCCACCTGTGCCGAGCCCTGGGGTTAGAGCATGCGAAATAGCCAGAGTAGTTGCCAGTAACCGATACGAAGAGACCGGAAAAAGTTGAGATTGAAGAAGGACCGTTATTGATGGCATCGTTGAAGAGAGAAATATTGGAGTATCTCCAAATATTGGAGTTTTGAACCATTTTTGAATTTCGAAACATAGTAATAGAGATCCAACAAATCTCACATCAAAAATTTTCAAAACAGGAACTCCTAGCATAATCCTTAACTATATAAACTTGTATTCACTGCTATGATTTATGTATTTGTTGCAAAATTCTTTTCGCGCCATTGTAAAGGTTCCGGAGGAATTTTTTTGTCGGTCAGCTGTTGTGTGTTTACTGGCAAATTATCGACGGAACTCTGATAATAACTTATCAACAACGACCACATACTTTGATTGTTTACTGTTCCGCTGGAGTGAAGAATAGAGCTCACTTGCAGAACTCTGCAGAAATTTCTAAGAGAAGCACATCTGAGCTGGAATGAGGAAAAAAGAGAGGGAAGATGAAGGTGTTAGCTTTAAAGTGAACAGATTTGAGACTGAAAGTGCGAAACAGAGGGAAATTTTTTCATACATTCTAACTAGGTAATGTAGCAAAAAAGTACTTTCAAAGCTTCTTTTTGGATTAGTTAGGGAACCGGGAAGACAAACCATTCTTGGAGAATCTAATGCTAAACTTCACAACTCTCTTTTGATTCGTGATATCAATAATGTTGAATTACTAATTAGAGCTGCAGAACGATGAAGGAGCAAATTCATTACACTTCAACATTGTTAAAATCAGTCTAAATAAGGCAGGCGCTATACTCCTCGAGGAGTATAGCACGGCGACAATCTATACGCATCAAGTACGTATAAAACCGGCGATTTTTGTCCCCGATATTTCGATCGCCAATCGCTACGACTGGCGATCGCCAATCGCTATGACTGGCGATCGCCAATCGCCAATGTTGGCGACTCCACGATGGATGCGCATCGATTGGACACGTGGTAACTTCTTCGCGCATTACTTATGAAAGACAGAGTCGCCGGTACAGGCGATTGGCGATCGCCCGTCGCCATGCTATACTCCTCGGGTAGTATAGCGCGTGCCTAACGATCTAGAACTTGCTCTTTGAATAAATAATATTCCAAGATTAGCAGTACGTTTTGCAGATCCTAGCAGCTGAATGACGTTGGAAGGCGGAATTAGCAAAAGTGCCATACCCTTTGCTCTAACAAATTAGCTAAAATTGAGTAAGGCAACTACGGAGAATATCTATACGATAACTAGAACAAACATTTTGAAGAACAGAATATATGGACTGTTAGCATCTCCCTTTTGGAATAAAAAAGACTCAAAAATATTGAACAAAACAGGAGATCTTATAGTAAGCATCAGATATTTGGGTGAAATAATGTACAAACTAAGGCTTAACAGAATATGCAACAGTTTGCAATTGAAAAATATAATAGCACATCACACACCCAATACACAAGAAGCCAGGGATCTGGTAGTGCAAGTGGTTTACAGAACAGATCCGCCACAGTGCCTAAGAATATTTAACTATAATTATTTTTTGAAGAATCTTGATTCACAAAAAATACAACAGTTAGAACAAAGAGAATGCCCTTGCAGTAACTTTAAAGATTATGTGGATCCTGTTCATAAACATGTTTGTACTGGGAACCTAAACTTAATCAAAGATGTGAAGCTCAGACAATTGTTGGGTAAAGGTACAAAATACCGAAGGCATAATAGAATCACTAAACAACAAGTTAAAGAGGAAATGGCACAAATGATAACGCAACTGATAAAAAAGTTGTCGAGAAAATACAAGATAATCGGTAATGCAGTAAGTTCATTTACACAGGAAGTGACACATTACATGTATAAAAAGATTCGATCTCAGCTGTTCAACTTATACGATCGACAACAAGTAAACATAGAAAGATACAATATCAAGTCACTGGAAGAAATTCAAGAAAACTTTATCATTACACCCATAGATAAAGCTTCATCCAATTTCAGTCTTACCTGTAAGAAGTTCTATCTGGATAATATAAAAAAGGAATTGGAACAGCATGATAATGATTGTACTTATGTACCGACACGATTACAAGTACAAGAAGTAAAACAAATTCACCAAAGCATCATGCAAAGTTTAAGCATTGGAAAGAATCATGAAGGGGCAGTACCACTAATATATGGTATTCCAAAAATGCATAAAAATCCTATCAAATTTCGTTTTATCACAGGAGCAAAAAATAGTAGTATCAAACCGTTAACTACAATGCTACAGCTAATCTTATCACACTTACGTAAACATTTTAGTAACTATTGCAATGTCATCAGACATAGAACTGGGGTCAGACTTTTTTGGGCAATTAACAAGACTACTGATGTCATCAAGGATGTCAATTTGAACAGCAGAGGAAAAACTCTATTTTCAGCAGATTTTACAAGCCTTTTTACAAGCTTACCGCATCAAGTAGTTAAAACCAACATGGGCAGACTGCTACAGCTGTGCATGAAGGAATATAGATACATCAGAATATCTAGAGACAAAATATATTACAGCTTTAGTAACGAAGGTAATGGAAACTTTTATAGAAAGGAGGATATAATGTATATGATAGACTCCCTTTTGAACTCTTACTATATAATTTTCGGAGGGGTTATATACCAACAAGTAAAAGGAATTCCGCAGGGGGCTTCATGTAGTCCACAAATGGCTGACCTAACTTTAGCCTATATGGAATATGAATATATGAAATCTTACATACTCAACAATGAAGGAAGCTTACGTTATCTATACAATGAGACGTATCGTTACATAGATGACATCCTTCATATTTCTAATGATGTACAAAGATTTGAGAACATTTTGAAAGATATTTATAACAACAGTCTCACTATAGAAAAAACTAACGACTCAGAATTAGAAACGAATTTCTTGGACTTAAATATAAAAGTAAAAGATGACAAAGTAATCTATAGTTTGTATAATAAGACAGATGCGTATAACTTCAGAGTCTATAAATATCCGCATAAACAATCTAATATACCTAGGCACATTATCTATAATACTCTTGTAGGAGAAGTGCTACGCATAAATAGAAACTGTAGCAATTATGAGGATTTTGCCAATAGAATCTTGGAACTTTGTGAAGCATGTGTGCAGAATGATTGGGAACCAAGCGAGGTAATTAAAACTTTATGTCACACATTACGCCGAAGACCTTATATCATGAGGAAGTATGGATTTGACAGTACATTACACATTCCTTTACTCCATAAAGTACATAGTAGAATGCTTGATCTACTGGGCGGGGAGCGGGCAGTACACAGGCGGGAATAACCAGGAGACTTTACGGGTCAGCACTCATTTATGCTTATTTGGCTTACACTTCGCCCTCTTTCATTCCATACTTTCATCCTCACATTCTTTTAGTACTTAATTATTTCATAATACTCCTCATTCTTCTTATTATTTCATATTACTTTTGGAAGCCTTCCTGTGAACTACTGATGAGGGGCGGCAGGTTGGCCACACTTCTGGTCTAGTTCAAGCCTCGAAACCAGAGTGTGAAAATCTAATTTTGGTACATGCTGGACTTCGCATCTCAATTACCTTCAGCATTACCTCCTTATTCATAAAAAATTTCAACTTTGGTAATGTTTTGTCTGATTTGAATCACTTCTCATTTATCCATTAAAAAGCAGAAAGTTTTGCGTCAAACATCGTTTGAGCTGTGTTTCTACTCCCATTCTAAGATTTATATGAACTTCGCAATTCGTATTATTCTTCGTATGGTTGAGTAATGCTTTGCCAGTTGCACAGCATCGATGAATTTAGTAGCTCGCATTATTTTTGCTACTGAAGAATTTGAGATGTTAGCATCGTGAATTGCTCGTTTTTAGCTAGTGGTAGGATGTCGGGCGCAGCTGTGGCTTGATGATGTGATCGTACTCATATAAGTAGCCGACAGTGCACAGTCAAGGTGAGTTATTCACATGTACGACTTTCGCTCATTTGCTTTAAATTATTTCACGCATATGTTTGTGCCTTCTTTCAATCGTATCATTCCTATTTGTAGTTCATCATTTAGTAACATCATTTTGTTATTTGTTCTATCCGTGTTTGTTGTTGTTATTTGTTTCTCTGATAAAGTTTAGCTACCCAAATTTGAGTCTGAGGTATGCTTGTGTCCGTGGCAATTGATCGTGTCATCAATTAGTGGTATTCGAAGCCTTATCGTTCTGAGTATCTCTCGACCACTAACTAGATAATATATTAACGACAGATTCAAAAAAAAACGACTTTCAGACCAATCTAGATATCAGCGAGCTCTTTGCCGCATTTCTGCAATCGCAAAAGCGTAGAAATAACGCGAAAATTTTATACAACGGATAGAAAACTGCAGATTAAAAAAATTAATTTAACATGATACGATAAAACTAAAATCATACTCGTGATATGAAATTGAGGTTAGAAGCAGGAGTGCAATTTACAAGTGATTGAGCAACAACGCAAATTATGGCTCTAAAGCCTTTATACCCGTAGTAAACATAAAACGATCGTCGCGGAATGTTGGCTACAAAGCCCGCAGGGCATCGTAGGTGGCACCGTACAAGCGTAAATACGTCGTGCATACTTCTCCTGTGCCTGTCTTCAACCCATTGGAGAGGTAAGCCATTGCGAGTTGGTTCGATGGGTCAGCAAACACAAGCTGGCAACCATAGCCAGGGTGGCCAAAGACGAATTTGCCCTATAATTCGAATTTTTTGGCACTGAGACCAAGTCGAGAAATTCACATAGGGAATGAATGCACATTATGTGCAAAAAGTGGTGGAGATGTGACGCATTCTTGATATTTCTATCACTTTTGACTTCAAATGTGTTTTTTCGTCATCAGGTCCTTTTGGCTGTGACGGATGCGCAAGGCGGATCATAGTCGCTGATCCCGATTGAGATCAGAGAGCGAGAAAGTTGAATATACTCTGCACGGGGCGCAGCGCGACATGGGTAGCTCTTAGAGTCGGGTATATGCCAAGATGAACGGTAGCTGGCAATAAGCATACTGTACTCCAGCGGTTGTCAATATGTCGCACATAAGGTCTTATTTTTTGAAGCTTTATGTTCTACACTGGGTTGCAAATGGTGTCGTATAATAAGAATTAGGGCATATAGAGCTTCCAGTGTTTTTTTCCAAGTTTCTAGATATGATCATAGCGTAAATATGGAATTTGAAGAAGGATTTGACCTACGCAGCGCATATGGCTGGCACAACCTATCGTTCATGTTGGCTGCCCCCCCTTAGAGTCACTGTCCACCTAAATTGAGATGAGTTCTTAAAGGTACCGTTTACCCAAAATGGGGTCGATGAGATAGATTTTGATGCCTAACAATAGTGGGGCCCTCAGCTGTATACTTATCCACTCGCGCTGGCAAAGGTTGCTTCCGAAGCGAGAATGTTGCTTCGGAAATCGCTTCAGGTGACTGTTCGCGACGTTGACTCCTCCCATTTTGGGTGGGCGTGAAGTACGTCCCGTCAATCCGTGCGCGGCCAACCAATCACCGTATCGAAGAAATTACGACAATCCCCGTTCCGCAGAACCCCCAGGCCGGCTTTCCGGAACGGTTGGATGGGCGCGCACAAATGGGCGGGCACGGATGGGGTCCTCGTGCATATTCGTTATTCCGGAGCGATTTTCTCGCTTCCGAAGCGACATTTTGCACCGCGATTTGGGCATTGGCTTGATAGGGGACCCACTATCATATACTGCCAAAAGCTTAAAACCCCCAATTTAGGACGGACAGTGCCTTTAAGGATGTATATTAGCCTTAAGAACTCTAGCTGTATAATAGCGTAGCTCCTAACTGAGCATCGCACAACTGCTGCAAAATATGATATCCGAAAAAAGAAAACCGCATCAAAAGGTAGAGGCGGCCAAGCTGGCTGCGCCCATTAATGTGAGTGGTTGGTATAAGTCCGAAAGACGGCTTCAGGGTAGAGAGAAAGGTCGCAGATTCTATGACCATAATGATGGGCGGATCTATTACAATTCTAAACACATGGATGCATGTCTAAACTCGTCATTTCCAGACCTCCCAGGTTTATGGGCGGAGCAGGACGACCGCTTTTACCTTTTGACGCGGTTCTTTTCTTGCTTCGGAATTTATCTCTTGCAGCGAGATTGCGGGGGCTGCTTAGTCAGAGGTCCCTCTATCATATAACATCAAAATCTCAATACCCTCAGTTTGGGTAGACGGTGACTCTAATGTTCTCGAACATTCAATATACAACACGTGCGACAAATATTCAAGTTTTGATCCTGACCAAACTGCAAATTGTAGATAGTGAATATCTTCTAACTTGGATAAAAATGAAGGATAATTTGCAAAAGGTCATCAGCACGACGTTGGGTGCTGGTTTTAGCTCTGAGGTCAATAAGTTGTTGCATGTTATCAACATGTTAGACATGGGAGCCGCAGGTCAAAGAAGAGTAAAGCCTAATCTCGGGGGGTGTAGGACGATTCGCACGACCGCAATGCTTTCCATACAGGACCACCGCCGCGCGCGACGCACCCTGCGGCTGCTTTTGCCTAAGCAAAACAGGGGGAGGAAAGGTTTGCGGCGTGCACTACATGTTAAGACACGTCAAAATCAGGGAAACTCTGGAGACCGCCCGTGCGAAAAGACCGTCTCCCAGTCTCGGGTGAGGGCGGCTGTTAAGGTAAGAAAGCGTGCGCGGGCGTACGAACTTTAATGGTGATATATGCTCAGATCTTTGCTCGCGCACCCGCTTTGCAAATTGAACCGACCGCCTTCGTCAGAGATTAGCCCTTACAAGGGAAGGATCCCAACATTATTCGGCGATTGAAGATGAGATGTATATCATTAGACGCGCCTTTGAACACTGATTCCAAATCTGCTTTCCTTTTTTTGCGGAAAAGATCCCAAACGAAGTTGTGGGCGTTTAAATGTCCAAATTTGTCAAGGTTTAGGTGGCCTCAAACTGGCGAAAAGCTGCACAAAAACACCGGGAAGTGGAAAATCATTTTTTGTATCGAGTATATTGTTTGCAAGAAAGGAACAAAGCCGATGGAAGCAAGAAGGGAACAAAGCCGATGGAAATCGCATAGGTGTTGTTTTAGAGCTTTTCGCTACTTTTAAGCCACTCAATGCTTGGCAAATCTGGACATTCAAACGCTCATAACTTCTTTCGGGAACTTACTCCGCAAAAAGGAAAGCAGATTTGGAATCAGCGTTCAAATGCGCGTCTAACTATATATATCCCATTTTCAATTGCCAACTAATGTTGGTATCCTTCCCTTGTTAGAACGAATCAGATGCAGGCGATTGATGCAGCTGTGTGCAAGTGCACACATTCCCTGTTGCTACTCGATTATTACACTCACCGGGATTAGCGGATTTGGATCATAAAGGAAGCCATATCCTTTTCTGATTGGCCAGATTGCTACCTGAAGAAGAGCTCTTGCAAGCAATGCGTCTTCTATGAAATAAGCTCCTAACCCTTTCCAAGTGCCAGTTGTTCACCGTGGGTGTACTGATCTTTTCTAATGTTGAATTGCTGAACAAGGTCCCATCGATAGCTAACGAAAACAGTCGTGCCAAATCTGCTGCACTCGACACGCCTGTGAGGGCTGAGATAGGCAGAGATATGATGTCAGGATCGTTGACAGACATGGTGTCCTGAAAAGAATTGCTGTACGATTGATTTAATTGTAAAGGCTTGAGTCTGCAAAGAATTTCCAAGTCCCGAGTCACCCGAAGGTTGGCAAGAAGAGCGAAGTACCCTTTGATTCAACAAGATTGGCGGCTTCGAGGCGATCGCTCGCGCACGCAACGCAGTCTGCGTCTCTCTCGCGGAAGGCTCCCTGATCATTTTCTAGCTTTAATTAGGTTACGAAGTCCCGCCTTTCAGCCGCCAATCCAGTTGAATCAAAGAGTACGTGCAAAATAATGGCAAAAACTTGTATGTGTCTATGTAATTCAACAAATTGAGATAGTAAAAAATGCTAGTAGCATGTGCATAGACAGAAGCCGGCGAAGCCGAAAGCATTTGTTTGGGAGAGAAAGGAGAAAGGGAAGGAAGGGGGGGGGGGGGCGGTCCCACTCTCGGAGAATAAGTACTCCACAACTTGTAACTTACAACTTTGATTCAACTGCGCAAATGATTATTTTACTTATGCACAAATAAAATGATTTCCCAGATTTGAAAAGAATTCGAGTCAAACTTGTAAAATAATTTCTAGGAGCTTTGCCATTGCTCATTTGTTAAGAATTTCTCGGCAAGCTTCTCGAAAAAAGTTGCGATTGGTGTTTGAAACCCTTTAAGCTCATTTGTACAAAGGCCTCGGTACCCCGCGAGAAAAAACGACTGCCAGAAATTTTTACCAACTGAAGCACATAGTACGTAGAAGAGCAGTGGCTGACCGAGGCGGGGGGGGGGGGTAAGGTCGGGGAGGGCTTCGCCCGAGAATGGGTCGTCAAATTTTTGAAGATTAACTTACATGAGTTGACTAAAAAGTGCAACTGACTTTCTAATACTTGCACATAATCGAAAGAATTGTTAAGCAAAAATTCAGGCTGGACTCGTGAAAAAAATTTTCTGGCCCCTTTTTTGAATTTTGGGGTTTTGAGCCTGTGATGTGGGAAGCAACCCAAAAGCTTTTTCGGAGAGCTGGCTAACGCCACGCACTCTCATCACAAAGATTTTTTTGTCCCCCTTTCACGGAGGGGGGACACGACAAAAAAATCGAACGGAATCCTGTGACCGCCACCATGATTTGTCGTAAGTGAATGAATTTCGACAGAATGTTCCAAAATACTAGCACAAGACCTGTGTCCACGGCGCTAATGATTTTTGTAGAAGGTGGAGTGACGTGAGGATTTACAATAAGGGTATGGCGTTACTTCCCTCGAAAAAAAACTTTCTGGGAAAGTTTTCGAAATTTTTACAAGCTTGCGAACTACATAGTTTTACATAGAAAAAAGTGGTTGACAATTCATCTCTTTGGCCTAATTTATTACGTTGGTTAGCATAATCCGTCTCTTCGCTTTTTGAATGTCCCCAGAATGAAACAGCAACGGCAAACTGGAGAATCTATGCGTTTTTTGGGTGATAAAGAAAGCTGTTCAAGCGCAAAATGCTTACATAATTGAGTTGGAGAAACTTCGTGTTTTCTCGAACTTTCTGCAGCATGTTGTCGAATCGGACGTACATGATTGTAAGCATTCCGATCATCTTAGGGTTCCGTATGCAGTCTCGCACAAACTCCCAGAAAGTGGGAGTGGTAATTCGAGCTAGTCGATGAGCCTCTCTGCGGTCCACGCCAATCTCCACCGATAAACCTAAAAGCAAGAAATCTCGTGAGCAGAAAGCCAAGCAAAATAAATATTGCAGAGAGTCTCACCGTGAGCATCGCTTACTTCTTCTTTCAAGAATGTCCTTACGTCTCTTCCTTTTTTATCAACCCGACGCACAATTCCATCCAAAATAAAACCAAAAGTTACTGGATGATAGCCGGTGGCAGTACCTTAGATCAAATAATCACAATAATTCGAATGATGCTTTGTCGACAGAGTTATGTACCAGGTTTCCAGAGCGGTTTCGATCTCTCAACTTTCTTTTCAATTTTGGTAAAGTCTTCAAAATCGCTGATATCGATGTCTTCTTCAAGATAGGGCAGCCCAGCCTGCAAAAATTCGGACTGGAAGAAACAATGATCAAGAGAACGTGGTACTATCTTCAGCATTCAAAATTCAAGACCTCACAAATTAATACTTCCTACATGGGGTTCTGGTATGGTATGGTATGGTACAAAAATTGCATTTTTCCACTCTTTGCCTAGGTCATATTTGTGAGGCTAGAACGGAATACAACAGTAGCGGAATGGGTCGCGAAATTTTTGAAAAATTACTTATATGGGTTATAAAAATGCGCAAGTGGCTTGTTTATTCTTGTAAATAATTAAAATAATTTTTTAAAATTTTTAAAAATACAAATTAGCCTTGTAAAAAGGTTTTTGGAAGGCGCGGCTGACGCTACGCCCCTTTTCTGCAGATTTTAGGGGGTTGGGAAATCCCCCCCCCCCGGACGGAAATCCTGGGATCGCCACTGGTATACTATGAACAATTTTCGTCGCAGTTGCCGTTTCTAGTACCAACTACAGCAGCGTTACAGTATAATGTTGTTGAAAAATCGGGTTTAATGCACTTGCTCAGCACGTTTATCAAGTTCTATATAAAATTTTCTTTGATTTTCTAATTTCATGGTCTGAATTTACAGTGATACCCCACAAGCGCTACCGTAATGAATGGGAGAATATGACATCGTAGTCAGCGTAGCGTAGCGTAATAAACACTATGCAGACTTAAAATTATTACATTCCGATTAGCCAACAGTACTCAAAGAAAAAAGACCTTGAGATACTATTCCTTTTGCAATCGACATCACTTATATATAGCCGTAACATAGGCGCAAAGTATGAGAAGCAATTTTTTATATGCCCAAAAATACCTTATGTGTCATCACATCTCCCACAGTTGTATTCTCCTTTCCGAACAATCCGTATTCAGGCCAGAAGTCCGTAAGTCGATCTTCGTATCGGAGTAGCCCTCGGTCGACAAGCATGGCTATGCAAAGCGAGGATACAGCCTGTGATATATTTCATATGTAAACTTCTGTCATGACTTAGGCTATCAGTGTCGTCTATCTACCTTTGTAGATGAAAAGAGTACAGTTCTTGTGTCGCGCTTCCATGGTATATTCGCTTCTTTGTCTGCGAATCCTAAACGGATCGAATATTCAGAACCTTACATCCACAAAAAAACATGGTTCCCATTTTTCTTGTAAAGCTAACAAGGGAAGGTCAGAAGGTCAGAAGTTGAAGTGGCCCATCCATACACGCTGCATTCCATTCAATGCAGCATAGAACGCTGATTTCAAATCTATTTGCAGAGCGCCTTTGTAGGCGAAGTTATGAGCAGCTTTACTGCGAGTAAATGCATAAAAATTGCTAAATAAGGCACATTATTGCTCTTTTAGCTCATCTCTGGGCACGGGCCATACAAAATGACCTAGTTGCATGTTTTGGTCCAACAGTGAACTGAGAATGGCTTTGTACTTCCAAGTTTCCCCTTTACACGCACAATTTCTTAGCAAGATAATGGCCTCTAGCGGCTTATAATTTCATCCACAAAAGTACTCTGCAGATAAGGAAGACACATTTAGAGTCAGCGTTTTATGCTGCATCTAATGGTATGCAGTTTGCTGAATTGGCTTCGATTTCTGACCATTCCCTTGTAAGAGTCAAGAAGTACTTGGGGTAAAGATGATCTAATCATTATCATTCAACTCATGGTAAAACTTAGCCATAACCAGAATACATTAGGTTATAAAGAAAGTTTACGGCCACTTTTGGAAATTTCATCTTCTGACTCATTTTTTCAAACTCAGTTGAGCTTTGAAGACAAGATTATATGATAATGCAAAACATGACCTAAGCGTTCCATTGATACTTCTCATTTTCATCAATGTCATGTGGTCTACGCGCCGGAGAAGAAAGTCCTTTTGACCATGAAAATTCGACAATTTTTTTGCTGCCGAGATTTCCCGCTGACCCCGAGAGAAACGTCTAAACGTTGGATATTGAGGATCCGCCGCGCCTGAGTAATGGTCCCAAAGATGTACAAGACAGTACTCAAAGTATTTGCAGTTATCATAACTTTGGCTTACTCTGTACGTAGGATTCCTTTTCAACTCGTGAAAAAATGGGAGCATTCTTGGGGACAAAAAAGGGTGATTTTTCAAGCATTTCGAGAAAAAAATTGCGAGTGACCCCTGGAGTCGTGATTTTCCTTCATAACAGCTCCAATATTTTTTGTATGACTAAGCATATGAGCTCTCCAACGCTTATCAGCCGCGAGATAATGTTGCATAGGCCATTTTTTTCAAGGCGACCTTCTTTTATTCTGCGCATAGTGGTGGCCTCACTTGAGTTGCTAAAAAGCCAACAAAATAAGCATGTTGTGGACAGTACTGTCTTTATCAGGACCTGCTTCTTACAGCAATTTGAGATTTTTTTTTTCGCAGTGTCGCAAATTTCTTTACAACCCTACATATCAGTTGGCGAAAGTCCCTACTTGATTCATACGAAATTCGATAACTTTTTGAATACTAAACCTAAATTCATAGTTTGGGTCCCAAAAACAGTAGGAGGTTTGCGTTGTTAATGTTGTGAGCAATGTTAAAGCGTAGCATTTTGTGGGTTAGCCGCGAAGAACGAATCTTTTGAAAAAAATGTGTGATTTTGATTTTACTACCGAAATTGCAGAGATTGAAAAGACACTTTGAAAACTTCGTTCTCGTAAGCTAAATTGAATGTTACCCTTGTTACTTTGACCCTCTGTTATGGAGCGCAAACCTTCTACTATTCTCAGGTTACCGAACATAGTTTATGTTTAGTATGAAATGTCATTAAATTTCTTGAATCGCGCAAGAACTTTCGCACCAATCTAATAAAGAAGCTGTAACGATTTTGTGATATCTTTTCCACTTCCAGCATTCTTTTTGTTGGAAATGTTATTTTTTCTTATTTCGTTGTCATCATTCTTTAGCTTCGCTGTACCCTTTTCTATGATAGCAGTCCGATATTAAAAGGGCTTCATTGAACGAAGAAAAAACAAATTCTTTAGAACGCGAATTTCTGAGTAAATCAAATTCTAATATGACAATATGTATGCACTAAGAAAAGCTTTTGAACTTTGACTTACCACCCCACAAATCAACGACAGGTCTCCCTCGAAGGTATACAACCACAGCAGCTCCCTCCCTTTCCAATCCATCAGCAAAATTTTGCCTTAAGTAACAAAATCAGCAAATGTAAACAACAGAAAAATAGTGGAGCTCGCCTAAATTGTTCGTAGATCTGCTCGTAGCCAGGTTCAAAATACCCATGAACGGTATCATCTTGAGCAAAGGGAGAGATCCAGCATACGATCAAAGGCCCTAAGGCAAACGTCGCCAACAGGATATACGCCATACCAGTTGTTTCGTCTATCTTACGCATTCTGTCTGGAACTAAGTCGACAATGATTAGAGTAAGAACAAAAGTGATGCATTTGACGAAGGGATCAAGTACATATGATGACGCATCGATATTGAAGTAGTAAAAGCAAATGACGGATGTCGGTGTTGAACTCATGTTGTGCCGTTTTCAAGTGTTTTTCGTTTGATAAAGTGCTAACATGCACTCTTAGAAGAGGTTCGGTGACCAATGTTCACAGTCATTAAGTTCGCTAAGATGTTTTGCAGAACATTTTCTCATTTTTAGCTTTGCACGGTGGAAAAAAACAGAATTTTGTAGAAGAGAAATCACTTGTCAAATAAGATTTAGATTTGAACTTTGACTGTATGTCGGCTCTACACATAAAACTGAGTGTTGGTCGCAGCTTTAGAGGGGGAGAGCAGAAGTTTTTTCTATAGTAAGTAGGGTGTCCGTTGGCAAGCAAGTAGCAAGAACCAAACATTCATGATGACTGATTTCAATATTTTCATGACGAATGCACTGCAAAAATCCAAAGACTCATTTGCTACAAGAGAAGAGGAGGAGGGGGGGGGGGGAGGTGAAAAACAAAACTTATCAATGCTTACATTCCGTCTATTCAAGTACTAATCACTTCTTTTTTTTCATTTTTAGGTAGAGTGCATCAAAAAGAAAAGAGGATGAAGAGGAAGTTCAAACAACGCACGAGACCAGCCAGTCTTCAGCCTCAGGATGAAAAAGAGAAGTGAGAAGCGGTAACAAGATCGAAGCTCTAGACCAACTAGCAAGGTGAAAAGAACGTGCACTTTGTTCTAATATAATCTTATCTTGCATCCTTAACACGTTTCGGACCGCGAAATCGCGCGCGGCGAAAAAGAGGGTACTTTCAGCCGTTAGCCAGCAAAGGGACCTTAATTCGTAGATTGTGTACTACATCTGTAATCAGCATGTCAGATAAGATCCATGCCCAGAGTCCTGAGTGAATTCGAAGTGTTTGAATTTTGTCGTTTGAGAAGCACTTCCGTGCTTTCTTGAAAGATAGGAGCAAGATTTCAGTTTCTAATTGTATCCAAAAGTATCTATGTTGTACACGATATACATTACTATTAGAACTACGGTTTTTCCCTTCGTATTCAAAGCTAAGAAAAGTTGCGACGTCGCACGCGTCGTTCGCGTTGCCGCATTTCGTTGCAAGTGATGTTCGATTTGTGCTCATATCTTCTAAACAAATATCGGCTGCACAACTTTACGTAGTTACCTGAAAAGTAGAAGCTTAGGCCTTTGACTTGTTAACCTTGGACAAAAAGAAAACCTCCTGTAAACGTTGAAAAGGTCCTTCGAAGGCGCGTGCTGCACCATGTGCAGCACCGGTCCGAAACGTGTTAAAATCACTATGAACCCGTTTTGAATATCGAGCTCCCCGGTGAAAGCTAGCTGACCTACCGCGCGCAATTTATTTCAAAAGATAGCAAGATTCTGAACGGTTGTAGGAATAAATATCCACTGACTAAGTTCGAATGGATCAAAACCAAGCGGACGAAATTTTTAGAAAACCTATGGCGGAAACATAACAAAGAACAGTTTTCAGGAGGAGGATGATCAGGTGGAGATTTGCAGAATCTCCTAGCTCATTTTCATGGATATCGAGTTTTCGTCAGAAGTTCATAACAATCGTTACTCATCACTCATTGAACCACGTGTGGACACACACCTTCAGACGCACTTCGCGCTCACTGAAGGCACGTGTGGACGGACGCAGCAGCTGACAGACCGAATTTTGCCTCAAAAACATTCCCAAGCACTATTTAGATGCACTTTCGCGCTGGAAAAAATGGCAAAAATAACAAATTGATTTGTTCGCGTAAATGTGTGTAGAGGAAATTACCAACAGTGAATTAGGCGACTGTAGCACTCTCATGATGTACAGATGTGCAAGTCGCAACTCGTCAGACTAAATGGAAGAAATACTAAGTGCTGAGCTTTGCTTTTAGATAAGCTTTACCGATGTCGTGTTGTTATCAGCTTAATTTTGATCACTGACACTTTAGTAGAAGTCAGACTGCTCAAATTTTATACATCATTCTAAAAAATGTAGTACTAAATGTAAGAATACAAACGGCCATAATATGAAAGGAACTTGAAAGGATTGCAAGGATTAAATGACGGAACACGCATTTTCGAGACACACCGTTTATTCTGCGTAATGCGGACTGCAAAATCAGCAAATATGAGATCCATAGCAGAGAATATGAAGTGTTTGGTACGATTGCAAAAAGCAAATCTCCGCCCTGTTGATAAGAGTACGTCCTGACCGAGAAGTTCGCGTCCTTCCTCAATCAAAACAAGTCACATAAATAGCACTCTGACTGATACGAGATGCACTAATGTCAGCATTTCAACTAGTCTCAAATGGACGCGTAAACGTCTTATAAGGGAAGGATATTACCTCGGGACTATCGCCTTTCACGTGGTATTAGGTTAAAACACCAGCCATGCACATCAGTCATGCAATAACTTTTAGAAGATCCACTTTCACATCCACTCTTCTTAGCCGCAAGGCTTATTTACAGCTGAATTTACGACTTGTTCTGCATATTTTGCGAGCTTTTAAATTTAGAAATACTCGCTGCATTTTTCAGCAAAAAAGTCAAGAGATATGGAGTTGATTAGATAATTTCGGTTGCATGCTTTGTGGAGATGTTACAGACAAATTACTTATTGAATGAATTGTATTTTTAGAAAAAGTAAATCAAGGAAAGCCAGAAGGTCAGCACTATCTGAGCAGAATCATTTTTTCAGTAAGGACTATCTCATTGTCAGCAGAGTGAATAGCCACATTTCTTCATTACAACTTCGCATAGTTAAAAGTCTCAACGATCTAGATTTTGATAAAAAATCTGGCTACCCATTCTGCTGAGGTATTCCTCACTAAAAAAGGTTTCCGCTCAGACAGTGCTCATCTGCTAGGTGTAAAATGCACAGTGTGTACGCAGACAGCTGATTTATATTTCCAACCATTTGCATGGGCGTAAATGGTCGAATTGAAGCTCTCATATGGATCGAAAAAAATTCACTTCCGTGCTCGAATGTAACAAAGTCCTCATACCCTTAATATAGAGGTTCTAAACTGCTGATCAAGATCTCCAAAGTGGTACGCCTGTGCGCTCCACAGCACGAAACCAAAACTTGTAAAGCCAGAAAGTAATATTTTAGACTGCTAACCCCCCAACGACAATATTGATAATTCAGAATAACCATCCGTTAATAACAAAGATTTGAAATCGTCTGTAAATTCTCAGTAAAATGATAGCTTTCAAATTGACAGTGTTTTTAAAGCATTTTCTAACGAAACTATTTTTTAGCCAACCAGGTAGATCAACAGAGGTACTGTTCTAACACATATATTACTTGCTGTTTAAACATCAGGGAGCAAAACTTATTTATGAATAAATTAGACAATCGCGAAAGGAAAAAGACACTTGGATTTTTGTTCTTCTTGGCTCAACGAGAAAACTTATTCGCCTCCTGTTCAAGGCTTAGATTATTATCTCATTATCATGTCTATGCTAAAGAAACTCGGAGAAACTGCTTCATTCTTCACATGCAGCAAACTGACATCTTGGGTACGTTATAGCTCAATTATCGCCTGTGGATCCGTACCGAAGATTCGGTAAGCTTGAATGAGTGATTGCATGTAAGTCAACGAACGCACAAGATTGGTGACCGATTTTTCCCCGAAAAGCCGTATCTGTTTACGAACTGGTAAAAAAAAGCACTGACTGGCAACGTCTACATAGCTGTCTAACGCTGCTTTTGATAGAGATAAGGTGTGCGACAAAAATACTTCCTCTTGTTCGCTGGACACTTCTGACAACATAATTCCCGTAAAGTGAGATAGTGAAGTGTTCACATGTGTCATGTTGTCACGTTGTATGATCAAACAGCGTCCACCCTAAATTTTATTTTTCAGATTTTTATCATTCTTGGGCCTTCCCATGATCCTTTTGCTGATTATAAGGTGTAAATTGCGGGAAAACTCCGAAACTCCTTTTTCTGAGTTTCCACTCGATAGGGGTGAAGTGTTCCGCGTTATCCCGATGTATGCAACAGGATCCCGTCGTATGCAACAGAAACACAAACCAGCATGCGTGTAGACTGTGCAGAATGCAATGCTTGGATGGGCGGAGCGGAAAAAAGGGGCGGAGCAGAGTGAAAATCCTGCACATTGCAGGCTTGTCAACTTTCCTTCTAGGGTTAACAACAGGGAAATAGGATCAATGTTGCTTCACTTCCTGGGACTGCTTATAGGTCGTTATCAATGGCCAAGCAGGATTGAAGCTGCTCACATACTTGTTTCGTGGAAGTTTCGTTCGGGATGGAACTTCTGTGAGATAGCGGCAGGTAATACGAAATCTTAAGGGCCCCGTCCATCCAAGTTAAGGGTGGTAAGGTTTTGATATTGGATGATAGCGAAACTCCTGACTTTGTAATTGCCCAAGTCCACTGCAAAAGATTGAAAAGATAAATTCCAAAGCAAGATAATAGCTCCGGAAGGAGTAGCGGCCAAGATGGCTTGCCAGTATGGGCGGTTCGAAAACAACATGTCCAAAATTGTGCTACAATATACAAACAGTTGTAGTAAACCGCTCATCATCATGATTATCAGAATTTTTTCTATATCAAAGCCTGCTTTCGAACTCATTACTTTTAGGTCACCCACGTTCATGGCCGTCTTGGCCGCTTCTGACTTCTGGAGCAATATGCTCGCTTCAGAATTTATTTTTTGCAGCGCGACTTGAGCGATTACTTATAAAGGTCCCGCTATTATACGGCATCACAACGTCAAAATCCTCAATTTGGGCGGGAGATACCTTCTTCTGTAAAAAGATAAGTTCCATCTGAATGATGAAGTGTTTGTCAAACTACAGTTTTCCCCGTGCTACTCGCTTTGCACTGCATACGTTTTTGAATATAACAGGCAAACTACCGTAATCCTCCTTCTTCCTCTAATTTTTTGTGTCCTTTGTCGTTTTGCACTGTTTTTCAATCATAATACTAACAGCTATTGGCCTTCCGCAAGGCAGGCGCCGAACGTTATGCATTTATGCAAAGGACACATTACACCTAAGGCATACCTCCCGCGATTTCGCCGAATAGCTACATCCTCGCGATTTGGCTATTTGCCAAATGTTTACGGATTAACCGTAGGCGGGTCTCAAATGCATTGACGCGTAGCTTCTGTGATTTGTTGCAGAAGCTTGATGTTTAGCCACGCAAATTGCGCTTCCGATTGATTTTGAAGAGTCGTTGCAGTACCAGATCGCGCAACGACTGGAATCGCCTGAGGTATGCCTTAGGCCTTAGGTGAAAACAAGTATTTAGGTTAATATTGGATTTCTGTGACTTTTTTCCCTTTTCAAGAGCTTCAGGAAATCCATGAAAATACCTCATATATGCAAATTATGTCATCTAGTGGCATAGATCAGTCTAACGAAGTAACTCCCGAAAGTCCCGTTACACTGCTCTCACCTCCCGTAAAAACCGAGAAGTTTTGAAGCGTCTTGTGCTACCATCAATTAAATTTACGGTAGAAAGACATATTACTTGATTTGCACGTAGCTCTAAAATTTAAGCTCTTCAAAGCGCTGTTGCTCGTCGTTATCCATCGGAAAGTTAGTCTTACATTCTAAAGCGGATTCCCTCTCGTCCATATACCACATGCTACAATTCTACTCATTAGTTTCAAAACAGCGAGAAGTCCTCCTTCATTAGAAAAATTGGTTTCCGACCCCTGCTGCAAGGAAAGTGGACTTTTGTGTAGATACTTTCAATAATCATGCATCCTTTGCAAACGCGAGACAGTCAAGAGGAGCGATTTCTCCGGCTGTCACCAACTCAAAACTTCTGCTTAGTGCTATGCGAGTCTTCAAAAGGTACCAGATAAAGTGCATTAGCTTACTATCTGTCTAAGGTTATAACTTGCTGAGTTGGGAGGCTTTCGCTGAAAAAAAGGACGGAAATAATTACGAATTTGTTCATGACCGCATTTTCATGGATCTTTGACCTTCAAAACTACTGTTTTAAATTTATTCCAAGGTGTTAAGATTGAGAAACATATGCAACTAACTCTATATCTCTTTCTATATTTTAAATACATTTAGAAAGTCATAAAACACTTATTATGTACTATTTGTCCATCTGGCAATAAAAATCGCGCCTCTTGACATATACCCCTTGCAAACTATACCTTGAAAGTCTCTTAATTGATGGTAATACAATCTGTCAAATGGCACGATTCTTTCCCTGTAGTCATGAGCTTACGATATAATGCAAAGCAATCCATTTCACAACATCGTGGTCTGAGAAAACTTGTAGCGCAACTTACTGAGTATGGTCCTGGCTCTATTCAAGCCAAATTTTGGAACTTTTTTTTTGCCAAAAATGCGAAAATCTTCATTTTCATGAACTTTTTCTACAAACAATACTTACTTCTATTACCAAATAGTAAGCATTGCTTCTCAGCAGTCTGCTACATCACATCTCCTCACTGCAAAATTGTACTTCTGCAGCACTTTCATCCGTCGTTCTACACGTAATAAGCAAAAGCGATAAAAGTTTATATTCTGATAACAGGGCGCTCTGAACTTGAAACAACACATCATTCTTAACTTGTGATCAAGAGCTAGAATGCTTCACAAGGGAATAGGAAAGATAAGATATCATATGATTGTTACTACTTTCCATGCAAGATTTATTAAAAAGAGACAGCAAGAGCTTGATTATTGAAGCTGCTTGATTGATGAAAGAAAAACAAATAAAGGACCATAAATTATGATAACCATAACATAACAAAACCACCTTCGAAAACTCGAATGACTAGAGGAAAGGAACCCCTAGCAGCAACAACAATGAATAAAAACAGTGTGCTCCGATAATGACGATTGTGAACCCAACCAATAAGATACCTAGTAACAAGATAAGGTCGCAGACGCTGAGCATTGCAAAATGGAGAGAACAGATCAAACAGAAGCTCATAAGAACTGATAGTATAGATCTACACAACAAGTGTAACAGTTTGCCCACATAATTCTTCTAATGGTGTATTTGGATGGAAGCGTGTCCCATCAGGCAGCATCAGCCAGATTTTGCCTTTCCACAAATCCAGAACAGAGCGGATCTTAATGAATGCAGTGACTAACACAAACAGTTTGGAAGTCCATAAATAGCCAAAAATGAAGAGGAAATTTAGGATAATAAGACAGTAGAAGAGTCAAACTTACTTCATAAAGCAAATCGCTGTATGTGAGTGTTTCATCCTTACTTGATCTCAAGCGCAAACGAATGCTCTTGCCGTTCATGGTTACAGTGAGCAAGTTTTCCACTGAATCAGCCAGCAACCACAACTAAAAATAGATTGAAGAAAATTTATACTCCGAAGAAGGCCACAAAAGGAGGCCATAACCTAGAAGCGAAATCTCAGTTTTGCGAGAACAATAAGAACTCACCGAAACCTCAGCATCCTTGATTGTGCTCACGTTAGAGGATGTAGCTTTCTTTCCAGAAGGTAGCGGTTCTAGTTTGAGTGGCGTTCCTGAAAACCCAATGTATTTACTTGGCCAACTGATATAATTTTTGAGATAGCATGAAACGATAGTAATCTCAACAACTGTAACGCACTGTCGTGACCCCTAATGTACCTGAGTTCTCACTCGAGCATTATGCAGCAGATAAAACTGCGAGATACTCTAGCACACAAATCTTATGAAAACTATCAAAAAATTCACGGATGAAAACATTTTCATGAAATCTAGTATTCACCCGTTGCTTCCTCAATTTTGCTCTTGTGAGAAAGGATGACAGCAGCCAACTGACTCGTGTCCGGCTTCACCACGCAGTGGACTATAGCGGGATCTGTGGAAACCAGCTTTGCCTGAAAATTCGCCGTAGAGGCTTGGAAAGTGTTGTAAGAGCGAAGACAAGAAACACGTTTTCATCTATTAGTTAAACATGCGAATATCAGGGCTGATAAATAGGCAATAAGAGTTGAGAAAAAGGGTAGCCATCCCCAAAGGATGGACGCAGTGGTGCTACCGCGTAGTGGATAGTCTTGCCGAAACAAAGATGCATGATAAACCTTCTAGAAGCGAAAACTTTCCTTCTAATAGATACCCACAAAATAGGTTGATTTCTGATTTGAGAACAGAAAGATACGTTCAGACCACAGGACAGAACTCGGGAAACTATATCTGATCCACCGAGCAAATCTGCAGGCTGAGCAAGATTTAGAATGTAACTAGAGATGTATATCTACAAAAGCTACGATATAATTACATCACTCTTTCTCCTACTATGCACTGGGACGACCCAACCAATAAGATGACGTTTGAACAATGAAACTTACTGCTTTTCTTAGCTTCTGCACTCGATTGGTGATTTCTCTGGCAAGGCCTTCCTCCACGAGCGATTCGTCTTCGGAAGTGTCAAGCATAACAATGGTCTAGAATGACAGTTTCAATGTCTGCGCAATTGCGAGATAAGATATGCGAAAATCATAAAAGTCACGAATTCATTCTCTGATCGCACTTTCACAAGCCGCGTTTGCCATATCTCTCCCTATTTCGATAACTTCTTAGTAATCTTAGGTCTAGACTGCACATACTACCCGTCAAAATTGAACGAGGCTAAGGAAGTACAGTTTCAAAGAAAAAAAAGAGTATCGCCAGGTTCTTGGCAGTCTGCTCAGAGGGATAATTTATAGTTTCACCAAACTCACTTTTCCGTCCGAGTGAGTTTCAAATCCTTCATGACTGGCGCCGCTCTGTCCACTTGTGTAACTTACGTAAACTTCTTCAGATGTAAGCTCATGGCCAAGCACTGTTAATTTTCCTGCAATATCACATATCAACTCGCTGCAACGAAACTGGTACGCGTTGATCGACCTTCGGCAAGGAATTGTTCCAGTTCTGCTTCAGTAACTTCCGTTTTCAGATAATCTACAACTTTCTTTTGATCTCCTTTGAGGCGCGCACCAAGCAGTCGGAAGTTAGGATCGGCCTAAGAATACAAGGAAAATTTGAGGAATATCCGACTCCGCATAAACATTGATGCTAGAAGAAGGAGTAGCTCTGTTTATCAAGCTCTAATGCATAGCGAGGTAAGCGCCCACCTTCAAAGTTATGCCATATCTATGTTTATCTTGGGACACCGTCAGCAAACGAACGTTCACTTCTGATAGAATGTAGTGCTCAAGACTCTTGAGATCCTCCAAGAACTGGCTTTCACGATTTACAACGATCATTTCTTTCAGAGGATACTGTAAAAGAGAAGGAGGTATGAGATACGGCGAATAAAAAACCGAGTGACCCACCTTGACTGGGATAGCTTTTCTTTCGCGAAGTACTCTAACCAAATCAATACAGCTCCTCATCGCTTCAACCCTACGCTCAATCGACTTGTCGATAAGATTGTCATCAGGAGTTGGCAGTAGAGTGTAATGCACCGACTCTTCTTGAGCTCCCGATACCTGAACCATGAAATGAGACGTTCAAGTGGATAAAATGAAAAACTGACTTTTCGCAAGTTCTGCCATATGTATTCGCTGAAGAACGGAGTGAAAGGTGCCATGAGTCGTACAATCAGAGTCAACACTCTACCAAGCGCAGAAAGGGCATGAATCTGTTCATCACTTCCAAAATCTCCCTCAAAATAATGTACAGCTCATATGCTCTCCTGTAGAAGTATGAAAGAAATGATACCTTTATCCGCTTCCTGTTCAATCGTATATAGCAATTCGTAAGAGTGTCAAAGAAGCGTGTCAGAGGCGTAACAACGGCATACAGGCGATATCTTCAGATAAAAACGACATAGTTGAAATAAGAATAAGAGTGTAGCAGAAACACAATCCATATGAAAGAGCTTACTCTGACATTTCCTGACGAACAAATCGTACAAGACTGTTTGTGAATGATTCAATCCATTTGTCCATCACATTCTCGCTCACTCCCTCCTTCATGGAGAAACTTCTGCCCTCCTAAAAGCCATGTTCTACTAATGTCAGAGTCCAAATTCGTGCTAGATTATATATGAATCTGTAGGGGAGCAGTCAGAGAAGAGAGCAAACGGAACAAGAGTAAGAAAACCATTCCCATTCTGATTCACAGCCGAGATAAGCAATAATACCTAGAGTTGCAAAATCACTTCAAATTTGTCTGATCTGACTCACATGCTCATATAGCTGTACATTTTGTACGAAAAATCTGTAGGCATTGAACCATGGCAGGAAAACATCCTTCAGAAGATCGCGAACCCCTTCCTCTCTAAACAGTCAGCAAATATGGCCAATTTAAAATTAAAAAATTAAAATTTCTTACCTAAACCGAAGATTTTCTCCACGTACAACAGGCGAATTGATCAGGTAAAGCCGGAGAGCATCTGCACCATATTTTTCGACCACCTCCATAGGATCTGGATAGTTCTTCTTGCGTTTTGACATCTTATTACCATCAGCCGCAAGCACGAGACCATTGCAGATAAGATTCTGTAATTAACTTCATAAAAAACAATGAAACAGGTGAGAAAGGACCTTACTTTGAAGGGTGGCTTGTTGAATAAAGCTGTTGACAACACAAGTAAAGTGTAGAACCAGCCTCTTGTTTGATCGATACCCTCCGCAATGAAATCTGCTGGGAAATTATCCTCGAAGATTTTTTTGTTTTCAAATGGATAGTGATTTTGCGCATATGGCATGGATCCCGATTCAAACCAGCAATCGAATACCTAAAACAGATGTACGCAGTGGAAATTACGGAATCAAGGATGCTGGCATTACCTCTGTCACACGTCTAAGAACTCCGCGTCCAGTTTTGGATGGTATGGTTAGGTGATCAACGCTAAAAGCAGAAGAATTGAGAGCGCAGCTGCTCACAACTTTGTAAACTTACCTTTCTCGGTGAAGATCTGTAACTTTTGAGCCAGTCAACTGCTCTAGCTCTGCAATACTTCCAGGACATACGATTTCCTCGAAGTCATCGCTAACCCACAAGTTTATAGGTGTACCCCAGAACCGATTTCGAGATACAGCCCAATCTCGTGCATCACGCAACCAGTTAGCAAATCGCTTTTCTTTCACGAACGATGGCACCCTGATTCAACCACATTCGTAATCGCATAGAGGTAGGAAGACATTTCTCACCAATAAGTTTGTTCATTATTAGCGAGCAGCTTAGGGATTATTTGCTCAACGCGAATGAACCAAGAGGGAACAGCTTTGTAAAGAAGGGGTGTATCTGATCGCCAACAGAAAGGATAAGAGTGTTTCACCTGCAATGAAGTATATGCGCATTATACAAGAGACTAAAAAACATCAAACCTCGCTCTGTTTTATAAGTAGACCACGCTCTTTTAGATTTTTGCAAATTTGTTTGTCAGCATCTTTCACATAGACACCAGCAAAATCGGTGACTTCCGCGGTGAATCTAAAGAAAAACACTTGATTTTCTGAACAAAGAATTGTGAAGGAGATCAAGCTTGTCTGCTTGAAAGTCACACTTTTTCATATTGCCGCGCAGGCTGCGTCCTTCGCGCATAAATTTTCCAATTCCCATCTCATACAGAGAAAAAGTAATGTCAACCTCACAAGACTTAAGGAATATCAGATAGTTAACCCGAAGGTAGAAAAAAAGTAAATAATAAAAATAAAAAGCGAGGGAAGTGTTAGCATTGCAATCTGAGCAACAAGCGTTCTCAACAGTCAAATGTGAAGCTGTATCATTAAATAGAATTCAAAAAAATCTACCTCCCAGTTTCATCCACGGGGCATACAATTTTCATGTCCTTGGTGATGATTCCATTTTCGAGGCAAACTTGGTAGTCAATCTGGAAAAATCTGGTTGAGAATTCGTTCTACTCTGAGCGGTGATTACACAACGCAGATTGTCATATTATGTAAATCGCCTATACCATTGCTTTGCAATACCTTCATTGCAAAAGTTAGGCCGAGGTGAGCCAAAGTAACGTACAAGGAGACAAAGACAAAATCGAATGTCATGCTAACCTCTCCAAAATATGGAGCTTGATGTACAATACCAGTTCCTTGATCTGTGGTGACAAATGTATTGCAAAGCACGCGGAACGCATTCCTCTCCTTTTTCATGTATGTGAAGTAAGGAAATAGCGGCTCATAGCTTTTTCCTTCAAATGTGCGTCCCTTGACCTGTAGACAATCTTGCTCAGTCACGAAAATATGGCGCCTTACTATAGTTGTTACCTTCTCCAAAACCACAAGGTTGTCATTCTTCAGCTCACACAAGCGTTCTTCCATAACCACATACTCAGCATCAGTTGCAGGATCTAAACAGAGATGCATCGAGATCCAGAGTTAGAGCATTTTTCTGATTACGCTTGTTCTGAACTAATAACGAATATGGCGCAAAGTTCACGTTTTGTTGTTCTTGCAATTCACACGATATGACGAGTAAGAGGAAAATCTATGCTTTGCGCAAAACGTTATAGGGCACAAGTAATAAGTGACTGTCATAATGTAAATCTTAAAACTGGTAAAGATCAAATTCATGGCAAAAGATACCTTTTACTATAAGATAGTCCAAGTCAGGATGTACGCACAATGCGAGGTTACTGGGAAGAGTCCAAGGAGTTGTCGTCCATGCCACCATTAGACGCTTCGGGTTTTCATCAAGTCGGAACCCAATACAGACTAAAACATGCACAGAACGGATATGGATTGCAGCTAGGAGACCGCATCATAGATATTTGCTTGACGATACAAGAACCTACCAGCGGGATCCACAACATCTTTGTAATTTTGTCCGGCCTCAAAGTTCGAGAGAGGTGTAGTGCAAGATGTAGAGTATGGCATCACCTTGAAATGCGATTTACAATGAACATTTGAGCGCATTAGCACGCACTTGAGAATTCTCGTATAATCTTGAGATGATTTGATCTGTTACTTACTTTTACGCCCCTGTAGACTAGTCCTTTTTTGAACAATTCGCTGAAAGCCCACCATACGCTTTCCATAAACCAAGGATAAAGAGTTTTGTAATCATTCTTGAAGTCAATCCAACGACCCATGCGAGCAACAGTTGTCTCCCATTCCTGAAGTGAACATTTGAGCTTCCAAAGAGGCAACAAAAGGGTGTGACGCAAAGCTGCAAGCAGGTAATACATCGCATAGACTAGTACTACAAATCGGCCCTTCCTGATAGGCGCTGAATCTTCACGTTAGATGAGATCCATCAGTTACTAAACTACGCTCGTCTTTCCCAAATAGACGACTCCCAAACGTTCGTTAAGACAAGAACTTAAGCTGAGTTCAAATGTTGACAGTGAGGTTCAGATCAAAAACATGATGGATTCGGAATCACCAAACAATATGGATTCTGACAAAAGTTTTCTGTAGATCTTTACAAGCAAAGCCAAACATACATGAGAATACCGCATGACGATACTTCGACATTCTGCGTTATACTTTCCAATTCCCATTTCTAGTATGTCATTAGGTCCCTTGACACCCAAAGTTTTGTCGACTTCATACTCCTGTAAGAAAAACATTTATATTTAGATATGAAAACAAATTATCTGCTAAGATACGTGACGATTTACTCACAACGGGAAGTCCATGCGTGTCCCATCCAAATCTGCGCTCGACATAGAAACCATTTTGATGTGCCCATCTTGTTACCACATCCTGGGCGACGTGTTTTCGTTGTGACAAAACTCAAAAATAGGAGGAAATAGATTATCATCATTACCTTAATGGTTCCAGCAAGAATATGCCCGTAATGTGGAAGGCCGGTAGCGAAAGGAGGACCATCGAAAAAGGTATATCGTGGTCTGTCGGCTGATAATCTGAACAGTAAACATAGAGCGATAAATAAGGTGTATTCAAGCTTATACTTCAAGACATACTTGAGGGATTTTTCAAAAACCTTATTCTCATTCCAGCACTTCAAAGTTTTCTGTTCCTCGGCAGGAAAGTTGATGTTATCTGGGACTGTGGTGAGCCCACTCATTGATTACCTAAAAACACATAGATATGGATCGCTGCGGAAGAGAGCAAAAGGGGCGATTTCTGCGGCTGTCACCAATTCATGACTCCAGTTCAATGCCATGCGAATCTTCAAATAACACCGAAAAAATGCATTTCCCAGCTGTTCGAAGTCAGCTCTAATTGGTCTGAGTACTGCTTATAAAGACATCGCTCAAGCAGCGCGAGTTAGAGTCATTTTAACACATTCACGACAGTACGACCTATCAGAGGGTCGTACGCGGACACACTGCACACTCAGGCAGGCGCCAGACTTAGTGCCAGACTTATCCGTTCAATCGGTTCATCCGGTTCGTCCCACTGACTATTGGTCCATTCAGTGATTTGACCGATAGCGAATAGGTGGACCAAACGGACCGGTTAAACCAGAAAAGTCTGGCACCTGCCTTATCTGCTAGCCCGCTTCATCCACTTCGCTACTGTCGAATCACGTTCTGACCAATAGCGAAGTGGATGAAGAGGCTAAGCGGAAGGGAGGGCAGGCGTTATGGAGCAAAGCTACGCCGCGTTCCCCTGCGGTATAATCTGAGGGCCCTTTGCGTTGCGTCGCTTTTAATTGCGCAGGAGTAGCGCTGCTCCTGCCAGCGGACTGAGCCATTCCCTATTACCATGACCTGATATGTTGAAACTGTATAGATGCAATAAGGAAAACAAAGAGGACGGCAATTTAGAAAATTAAAAAAAATAAGTTTCTCGAGATGAGTCAAATGCTGAATCTGAGATGATCCAATGCTTGATTTGAGTTAAAAATGTTCAAGAGAAGTGGAACACGAGAATTAGTAGAGAAAAAGGATAGAAATTTTTCGTCATGATTTTTTAAGAGAAATTAACTTACTCATCTTTTACTTTCTCTTGGCTTGCTTTGCAGACCTTTTCTCCTCACACTCTATATTTGATTCGCCCTTGAAATGCGTTTATCATTCGCATTTTGATCTCTTTATATATGGAGAGTGAGGATCGGTAGCGCTAACTCCTCTGCAACTGCAGTTAGGAGCGACGCAACGCAAAGGGCCCTCCGGATATACCACAGGCAAATGCGGCGTAGCTTTGCTCCATAACGCGGCGCCGCCGCGGATAAGCCTGGCACCAGGTAGCGCAGATGGTACACTCGCGCCTAAAATATTCACACCGAAACCGCACGACACTACCGTTGGCGGGCGACTTGCATCACGTTACATGCTATCGTATGGACCACCCAGAAGTGGTCAGAAATTCACTAATTATGGAGCCGTAAACTTTCTTCTGAATTCTAGCCCAGACCGATATCACACGCAAGACTGGACGTCGTTGAATTAAGATAAGTACGTGTTTGAGAAACTGCACGCTGCTAGAGAAATGAGAGTGCGTTTGTGGAGCGAAAGACAGCGTCCGCAGTGGCGCCCTGTCTCTGCATGCAACAATCACCTACACACTCAGGAAGGGGAGGGAGAGAGTGGGTTTGAAAGATGTGCTAGAGCACGATCTAGACGTTTAGAGATACTCTGTTGGCCACAGTGAATCATACAGACTGCCGGTTGGGTGGGAAATGACTTCGCCAAGGCCTCCACCAGTTCAAACATAAGAAGTCAGGGTGCCAAAGTCCTATACCTTGTTGGGTATATACAGTTTAAAGCAAGAGTAAGCTAAACAGCGCAGAAGCAGTATGGACTCGATACTAGTCGAACAAAAATGGAATGAACGAATGAGAATGATGCAATATTATGTAAAGTGATGACGGTATGGCTCAATTCAAAGAAAAAACGACGTTGAATGAAGACGATTTGTACAACGATTGCAACGGCTTCCAATCAAAAACTTACATATGATTGGAAAAATAATCAGTACCCACTAGAAGTGTGAAGCTGAAGAGGCTAATATCGAACTAAATTAAGAGCGATGCCAAAGAGGAAACGCTAGCATGACTACGCCACTTCCCACGACCGAAAAATGCTCATATAACAACTTTGTTGAGATAGATGATGGATGCAACACATAGACGCTCAAACTGATTCAAATCGTACCAGAAAGTACCCCTTTCATCAACAGAAACAGCAACACCTGGATTTCCCACGCGACGGCAACTTTTCAAATGGTACGCAAAATTAATGCACCACATCTTTCGCGACCGGTACAAAAATCTTTCCGATTTTTTTTTCATTTTGGCTTTGTGCGACTTGTGACTTTTTTCAGTGAGTAATAGTGTATCAAATGTCTCAAACTAAAAACTAGAACCTGTTTTTTTACTTCATTGTAAGTAATGTTCATTCGAATGCATAACCTTTCGCATACCGTATCACACAAAGGCGGACTCCCTTTGTGTGATCGCATAACATTTGAAAAACGTTGAATTTCCCAGCCACTATGCTGCAGTCAAATTTCCTTTCGATGTCTGCACGTTTCCTAGCCAGTGCCAAAGCCATGAGCAGGTGAGTTTGTTAATTGCTTGTCATTTTTCTATTTGTTTGATCTATAACTATTTTTTATAAACTAGATTTCATTACATCTTGAAGTGCTTTTACCCTGACGATTGAGCAGGGGTCATTAAGGCAAAGTGAGGATAATATCATGTCGTCGAGAAGTTCCTTGAATCGGTAATGAAGGGTACAACTTATGGAACAAAGGAGCTGGGATAAACGGTTTGAGTACTAACAAGGGAATGGTCAGAAGTCGAAGGCCAAACCAAACAAGCTGTATACCATTCGATGCAGTGTAAAACGCTGACTTCGAATCTGTCTTCCTTATCTGCTTCCCGCTTCTGTGGATGAAGCTACAAGCGGTTTTATTGTGAAAAAATCGCACATGAATACAGCGAAATTGAGCACACTGTTGCACTTTTTCAGCTTCTTTCTTCAAAAATTTGAAGTAGGCTAGACGCATGTTTTGTCCCAGCGTTAAGGCGAGCGTAGCTCTGCACGGCTAAATTTTCAATTTCAAGCGTAATTTTTTAGCAAAATAATGGTGTTTAATGGCTTGTAGCTCCGTCCACAGAAGCGGGAAGCAGATAAGAAAGACAGATTCGAAGTCAGCGTTTTATACTGCATCGAATGGTATACAGCTTGTTTGGTTTGGCCACTTCGACTTCTGACCATTCCCTTGTAAGACTACGGTCTTGGCTACTAGCTCTAAGATATACTTCCAAGGAATTTCTCATTTACTATTAGACTCAAGAAAAGCGGGCGGTAGCCTTTCTAGGATCGTGGGTGTTTTACAAAAGAAGGATTATTAGATGATGTTATTCTTTTGCAACTGAAAACAGTTTTGATTCGCTTCTTCTATAAACACGTTGCTTTTCAGAGGCAAGCAGGTGAAATATCCTGTCACTGGGATGAGTATGAACCCTCTTGCTATCTACGTGAAAGAGCATTTTGCGAAAAACTCGGCGAAAAGTATTGAGGAGGGTCAAAAGGCAATGAAAGAAGTGGTTGCTTCCTGGAAAGCACTGAATTCTGCCGAAAAGAAGGTTGCCTCAAGCACAGAATTATGTTCATACCAATAAAATTGTTCTACACATTTAGAAGTACGAAGAACTCTCCAAGAAATATCGCGAGGAGAAAATGCATGAGTTCGATGCGTTGTCGGACGAAGAAAAGCAAGAGAGAATCTCTGCATCCTTGGAGGAGAAGGAAGAAAGAGCCAAAAGAAGAGCGAGAAAGGAGAGGAAGGAGGTGAGTAAGGTCGATTAGGTCGTTATCAAGGTACCTATCGCGTTCGCAGGACTGGGAGAAAACGGGTCATCCTGAGCGACCACCATCTGCTTACAATCTTTTTGTGCAAGAGAAATTCACAGATTTGAAGAATAAAGGGGAAGTTGTTACCCCTGTCGTAAAGACAATGCAACGTCTCAGCGCCGAGTGGAAAGGGATGAGTGATTCTGCTAAACAGGTAAGCTGAACCACTGCTTCGATTGCGTATTGTTTCGAGAGTATCTAGAGTTCTTTTTCCTTCCAGCCTTATCTCACAAAGGCCACAAGATTGGCCAATCATTACAAAGCCGAAGTGGAGGCATGGAAAGCAAAGGTGAAGCCAGAAAAAGGAGAGCCGCAAAAGTTTTCAAAGTAGCCATATCCACTTTTGTTGGAGGACATATCTGCAAAGGCGCTTTATTTTTCATACCTCGTGATCTGCATATATCTGCACAAATGTTACAACTATATTCTTGACCTCGTAAGATCGCAGCAACTTGTATATAGAGTACACATTGAAGTTCAGGCATTGATTACGGCGATCAACTTAAAGAGTTGAAGGTATGCGTTTTTATTATTAAGTGCTTCGATATTAATGCCTTCCAGTGCGTCTGCGCAATCGTTTACGCTTTTACCACCTGTTTTACAATCTTACAACAGCTTTATATTGGGCACCTTAGAACGCGTGATTGCCTTGTAATCAGCCTTGAGAAAAGGATGTGAAGGCAAGGTTACCTGGCAGAGATTCAGTAATGATAATTCTTCGAGACTCTCCTATTTGAATTTCCTTGTAAACAGGTGCGCAGGTTGGTCCATTTCCACTTCTCATATATCTGGCTACAGTTCTTATAGATGTGTTTTGTTTTGATGTTTTTTAACTGACATTTGTACATAATTTTCACTTAGTATCACTTCTACTTCGCTTCCTAGCCTTTTACATGGAATAAACGTATGTTTTCTCAGTCTTGTCCATATTGCATCACCTTGGGATTTTCTTGACCGAGGCGAGGGTCTACATGCAAGGACTGGCCAACTTTGCGTTTTTGATTTGTATCATTTCAAACGAGGCAGTCTCTTTGAAAGACTATTACAGTCAAGTAGATTTTCTGCTTAATATAGTGTGCCTGCACTGCAGGTAAAATGAGGTAAAATTTACGTGAACAGATAGTCACGCCAGTAATGCCGACATTTTGCGGGTCCAATTGACCGGCATCACAGCCACAGCTATTTGTTCACGCGCATTAACCGCATTTCACCTGCAGTGCAAGCACACTATATTAGGCGGAAAATCTACTCGACATAATTGGATATTGATAGTATAGATGCCTCAGCTTAGATCGCGCACCCTACTAATAAGCGGAATCAGATGGGCGAGTCGGCAGACAGGGCGAGCGGAAGCTGTCGAACGCTCCTGTCCGAGGCGGGCATGGAAAGTGGAGTCAATTGCATGGACTTAGCTATAACGTAGCTCAAACAGATCAGAATCATCGGTTACCAATGTTAAGCGTCTGTAGTCGTCTGTTGTACTTGCCTATTAAGTGCGGTGGTATATAGATGTAAATAGGCCGGACCGAGTTTTGACCATTCCCTTGTGAGATTTAGGATGAGCAGAAATCTCAGAATGGAAGCGCGAGCAGCAGCAGATCGTTTTATTGGTGATGCTGCGTGCCATGCTATGTATAGGGCATTTGAGAAATCGTGACGAGCCCGCAACACGCACACCTTTCGACAACCGCATTTTCTTGGTTTTCATCTCTATTCGAACGGGTTTTCTGCTTACGTACGATAGTTTTACACACTGGATGTGAACGAGCTGAGCGTTTAGGTGATGCCTTTTTGTACGAGCGTTTTATGCTCCTATGGGCGCAAAGACCGCAGTCATATCCTTCGTCACGACTTTACAAATGACCTATACCTACAGCGACTGATGTTAGAGTAAATGGATATATTTTCTTTGCACTGGTGTGAATTCACAGACCTTTTGCTTTTGCATGGTCTTTCAACTGCAGGTAGAGGAACGAAGGCCGCCGGTTTGGGCCGCCTCCGCGGACTATTGGTCCTGCGACGACATGCACAACATTGCTGGAGGACCAGTTAGCCACGAAAGGCTGGTCAAACTGGCGGCCTTCGTTCCCCTACCCTCTAAGTACACTTTGATGTGTGATTGTTGAAAGAATACCCAAGCCAGTGATACTGAAGCATAGCTATCTAGGCGCCAGATTAGCTGATTGCCTGCTTCAGCAGGACGCCGCGCAACTAGAAACTAATGTTATTTGGCGTCATGCTCTATTGAAATCGAAGTGGCGTCTGCGTTCGCAACAACAGTATTTTTGAAGCAATGATAAAAGCCTCATAGTAAGAGAGGATGATAAAAGCCTTATCACCAAAAATGTTTGCTTTAGCGAAATCGAGATCAGAAACTGGTGTCAATGTGGTGTCACACTGGACGAAAATCAGGGTACGTAGGCGCCAGGCCGGGCAGAGAACTATATGTCGCGGTTCTGCAACAAATACGCACCTTTTTACATGCATGGAGGTGCGTTCTTGCAAGAAGTCTGCAAGACCCTTCTTGCTAGACCCTCCTACATTCGGCAACACATAGTCCTCTACCCCCCCCCCCCCCCCAAGACCAGCGGATCGCCCTGCTTCAGCAGAACGCGGCGCAGTTATGCCATTAGGGGTCAATTTGGAGGAGGATTAAGTTGGCGCCCGCTATTTCTCTACAAAAAATACTTTTCAATGGTAAGCCCTTTTTATCATACTCGCGTTCTGCTGAAGCAGGACGATCGGCTAGTCTGCCGCCTACCACTGTTTGACAGAGTGGATACTATAAAAACGAAGCTTCTGAATTCCCACAGCAGATAGTCCGACCCGACGTCTATTCTTAGTCATTGCTACTTTCTTGTATGTTGAGTGCTTGATTTTGTTGCAAGTCAGTACTGCACTGGTGCAGAGCTGCACTGCTGAAAGCGCGGTTGGATGTCTTCATTGCGAGATGGGCAACAATTCTCCATATTCCTGTCTAACGTTCACAAATTACCAGAAATCCAAGATGAGTTAGGAACTTGAAGCCCATGGAAATGCTGAATGCGCATCCTGTCTTGTTCCTGGCACGAATGTCCTGATCACCAATTCCGCGTAATCAAACGACGATTTCGATTATCGTTTGATAAAATAATTTTATCAGCTGTTCATAATTCACTAGTTTTGTGCTGTGGAACGTATTAGGTTGTCGCACTCTTCACTCAATTGAGGTTTATGTCTATTTAAGGACGATGAGGACGGTTTTGTGTGTTCTATTGTCCACCTATGTGCTGAATGTGCTTTGCGCGGAGAAGAAAGTCGACAAACTTCAAATCGGAATCAAGAAAAGGGTTGAAAATTGCGACATGAAGTCCAGGTGTGTAGTTTTCCTTCTGATTCTTCTTACTTATTTCTCCGTTCTCTCTAGAAAAGGAGACGTTTTGCATATGCACTACACCGGCACCTTGATGGACGGCACCGAGTTTGATTCCAGCCGCACTCGAAACGAGGAATTTACATTCACTTTGGGAATGGGACAGGTAGTTAAATGTTCCCTTATGTTGCTTTACCTTCCACACCAGCCTGTCATGAAATCTCCGTCCCTCTTTTTTTACACATCATGCTTTTTGTTCCTAGATCTGAAGAGCAGAGAAAAGACTGAACTTCAATGTGTAGTGCTCTAGGCAGCTAAAACTTAGGTTTTGGGCAGTGGTTTGGGCGTTCCCCTTCTGCAGCTTCCGACACTGCCATTGATAAGCGCTGTACAAGCGCGCTTCCTTCACTTTAAAGCGACTGTAGAAATTAGTACATTTGAAAAGGTAGAGCGGGTTTGTTCCAATTGTTTCTACTATGTCTGCTAAACCTCATTAGAAGTAGCGTCCTGTGAAGGTGGTTGATTTTATAGTTTTCTTGAATTTTTAAGAAAATCCAATAATAGTAGACGGCGGGTCATGGCTAATTCTTGGAATTGGAAGTTCTCACCACTCTATATGGGGAACTGTTACATGGGTCTGCTTCTCAATTCAATGTATCTATGGATTTTCAGGTGATCAAGGGATGGGACCAGGGGCTACTCAATATGTGCGTTGGAGAACGTCGAATTCTGACTATCCCTGCTCACCTAGCCTATGGAGAACGAGGATCTCCTCCTAAGATCCCTGGTTGGTTTTCTGTTTCGTACTGCATCTATTATACGGTCAATTTTGCGCTTTTGCGGAACCAACGCAATCTTTGTGAAGAAGCAAAAATGCCCTTCGCTGCACCGATAGCCAATTTGTTTTGGGGAATCTTTGCTAGATATTTCTTTCCATGCATGGAGAGATCAAACTTAGAAGCACGCAGTAAAAGTGCTTACTCGGAAAAATGCGTCCTCATAGTATTAATCAAGGGGACGCACCATGTGTGCAGTATGCACTTCACATGTCTAGATAATCAGAGTAGAAGGTTTATTTCTACAAGTGAAGAAGTGGATAAGAAGCTCTGAGCTTGAAGCTGAACGTGAACACTTCAGCAAACGCGCCGCTCAAATTCGATGTCGAACTCATGAAGATTGATCGCAAAGACAGAGAGCTGTGATTGTACTGCTCAACTCACGTTAATTCTGCTCATTTACAAGATCGTCTTGTCAAAGTTATTTATTGATGATATCTGTTATGTCAAGGTCTCCTTGAATGTTTTTTTTTTCATTTTCTTCTTTTCTGTAAGTCATTTGCGTAAGTCATGGCAGGGATAAATTTTTTTCTGCGTTCACCTTCGTATATAGAACGGACTTCTGATTACGTCAAAGTACATTTTTGCCGCATAAGCTGTCACTAACATATACGTTCTTCTGCATCGGTCGTGAAGTCTAGTGGGCGTATTCGTCAACGAATCTTCAGGTAAAGTAAGACCTTAAAAGCGCTCATAGCCGTACGCTCAGTCTTGCCTATATCTCAAAATATGTGAAAAATTATTCAAGTCAAACCATATTCACGAACAAACGTTCAGAGTAAAATCTGATTTGAAAAGGCACCGTCCACCCAGATTTTCGACTTCCACGTTTTTGTCGTTTCAGAGCTTTCTCATGTCCCTGATTCTGATGAAGTCGAGAATGCAAACCCCGACAATCCCCATTCCGGAGAACCCACAGGCCAGCTTTATGGAACGGTAATTGGACGGGCGCGCATAATTGGGCGGGCTGGATGGGGGAGGGCGGGCATGGATGGTGGTCCTCATGCATCTTCGCTATTCCGAAGCGATTTTCTCGCTTCCGAAACAGCATTATGCCCCGCGATTTGGGCATTGGGTAGATAGGAGGCCCTACTATTATATGCTGCCAAAAGCTCAACACGCTCAACTTAGGTTGGGCGGTGCCTTTAAGCGTAAAATTCACCCCAGCATGGAGCAAGGTTACATTTACCTTGAAGGCAGCGTTCGGACAGATTTGGATCTTTTCAGATACTACTGTCCGAGTATTAGGGCTTCGAATCAGAACTATCGCGCAAATCCGATTTCAAACACCCTTTGCAAAGTAGGAAATCGGCGCAAGAAAGGCCGAGCTTCGAGGACCATGCCCACATCCTCGCACGGCCCGCCTCCTTGAACGAACTCTTCTCAGCCCTTTACGTGTTCTTCACCTGGAAAACACTATCGAACACATAGTGCTTACCTGTTAGCTTGCTTTCGACAAGGATAGCATTAGAAGCACGCCTCCATGGTTCTTACAATTGTCTCAAAAATGCGATTTTTTGAGGAATTCACGCATTTTGAGTGCTGTTGTTGCAGTGCATGTTTGAAAATATCGTCATGAGAAGACCTGAATGATACATTAGAAGTCGAGATTCTGCCTGGACGCTGCCTTTGAATGCATACCTCAAGCCAGTTATTTGAATCACTCGAGATAGATGTCACGCTGAAGATGTTTGTGAGTACGGGTTCATGGCCTAAATGCAGCGTTCAAGCAAACCTGGATATACGGAAATCTCACGTGGATAGTAATTTTGGGACCCTAAATAAGCCACTGCCCAGCCGGTAGCTCAGGTAGTCTCTAACGGCTTAGATATTCCCCTCGAAACTGAACCCCGGGATCGTATTCGCAGGAGGTTGCGCCATGACTCCATGCGAATACGATCTTGGGGTCCAGTTTCGAGGGAAATATCTCAGCCGTTAGAGCACTATCTGAGCCGGTTGGGCATTGGCTTAGTTGGGGCCCCAAAATTACTTTCCACGTAAAATCCCGTAGGTGATTTGCCTGGGCGCTGCCTTTAAGGTGTTTTCACATACCTTGAGATATAGGCAATTGAATGAGCATACGCGTAAGCGCCCTCTAGGTTCATCTTACGCCAGGGGTCGTGCTAAATACTGCCACAGGCGCACTGAGCTCTTCAACCAGATGTTCGGGCGGTAGTGAATTTTGATTGATGTACGAAACAGAACTGTCATCATAATCATTTGATCTGATTTTATTTTAGTGCGCGGTACTATTCCAATTAATGCAACCCAAAAATTGAAAACCACGGACACTGAAAATTCGCTCAAGTGGATTACTCGACCTGCTGATCACAAAAATGGTATCTATTTTGCATGGTGGGGCCTTCTTTGGGGGTTGCGGTAGGCGTACGGTATGGGGTCAAAATCTCAGAATTCGCTAAATTCTTGCGTAGGGGGCCATTTGACCACGAATTTCATATTCATTCCCCACTAAAACACTTTAGCCCCAAAAGTAGTCAAAAGTCTCTTACATTAGGAAAACGGCGCCAAAAAGGTATGGTTGCGTAAATGGTCAATTTGCCACGTTTTACCTGAGTATTTGAGAAGATCTGCGCAGAGATATAGCTCACGAGGCTTATTATTAGAGCAAGTACTAAGCCACTGAGCGGTTCTCAAGCATGTGTTTATTCTAAATGGAAGTCACGGTCCGTTCATTCTCCTTTATAAATGAGGTGAATAGCGTTCAAATAAATTTGCGTAATTTTTAGTGTTGGCATTAGCGTAGCATTTTCGGTATTCAACCTTATCGTAGGGTAGGCACACCCTTAGAACACAAAACTCGGTTTCTAAAATCCCAGAAAGTTCCGATTGAGAGATGTGGCCATGCGTCGATTGCACAACAATTAACTTGTGTGTGTGATAAGCAAATACCGCTACGCTGAACAGATTCCGCCGCGGATCAGCTTTGAAAAAAAGGGTGGAGCATTCTGCACAGTTGTATTCATACCAGCAGATTAAATAAGAGAACAGTCCTTTGACATCTTAAGCATTAGCTATCCCTAAAATGATTTGGATCACGGGGAATGTGGAGAGATGGATTATATCGAATCTACTGCGCAGCCAATTTTTATGGAAGTATTTTAAGTGGAAAGTTGCTGTTGCAGCTCTGTGAAAGATTTAGAAGCTCTAGCAAGATCATGGTCATGTAGGTATAAGCTCCTGCAGGACGAAGGCGGTCGGTTCGATGTGCGGCGTGGCTGTGACGCGGCTGTGACGCGGCTGTGACGCAGCAGTGTCGCAGCCGCGTTGCACATCGAGCCGACCGCCTTCGTCTTGCAGGAGCTGTGTAATGAGTCAAGCCCACGACTTTCTCGAGTTTTGAAAGCAAAGTTTTGCGGTGAAGGTGTGCCTACCCTATGGTTTAGTTGAAGCTTGTTAGTCACTATTAGTAATCAGCTTTACTCGAGCTCCATTTCATCCCTTTTAGTGCGATGGAAATGAGTGCTGTAGGCAACGGGCATAGTGCTCGCGATTTCGTCGTCATGATTTCATCGCCGGGGAAATCGATGGTTTGAGCGACGAAATCGCGACACGAAGTCGCTCATCGCACAAACATGGGCATAGTACGCGTGATCCCAGATCTTTGGAAACAATGCAACTGGGTGCATGTGAAATGTGTAGATTTTGTTTCCGTGGGATACTACTTCATTCTCGGCATATAGCCTTGCTCATGCCAGTGATGAAACATAATTGCAAAAAAGTTCTCACAGTTTGCCCATCTTTCACTTCCTCAACAGCTTACTAGTTTTTAGGGATTTCTTATCTGCGAATGCTTTTGAAAGCTAACAGCTGACCATAGGGACGTTCTTTACAGTTTTTGACGAATCAAGATACTAATACAAAGAACTGAAAGTAAGAATAATGACGTGGGGCTCTACAGTGTTTTGACACGAATCTCTAAATGCCTTTAGAGTTTAAGCACAGCACTGGTGAGACAGTAAAAATCACAAACAGAACCGTTCTGCAGTGCACTAATATCGAACAAAAATTCTTCTGCATTTATGCGGGTAGCGAAACTTCAAAATACATCTGAAACGAACCATTTGGATTACATTAAAGGAAACAGGGAACGTGTCACACGACAATCCATAATTATTGAAAGAGGTTTTGAAATTCGAAGTTTTTCTACTCATCTATTTCAGATGGTTTATGTCTCCCCCAAGCTTAAACAAGCTAAAACATCAATGCACATCTACTGAAAACTCTCAAGATCTCCTTCGCACCTCAGCGATATCGCCCTGTCGCTTGTGACACGCGACGAGACATCGCTGAGTTGCTGAAATCGCGGCGATTATCGCTGGAGAACTACGCCCTAACCAAAGGCGTCTGCGATTCGTCGCGCCGGACGACCATCATAACCGCCATAGCAGACACAAAGGCATGGAAAAGTGCGTGACGAGTGTCGCTTTACAGAAATCGCAGAGCGACGGAATCGTGACCACTATGCCCTAGGCCATAAAAGGCGCTCACTGTCAGCCATTGCCACTCTAACTGTTCACTCATTTGCCTCTGTTTTTGGTTATTTCTTTATTCTTTAGTAAATCCTTTCTTCTCTTCTCTACCTTCCGAAGACCGAAGACTCGAAGTGCGTCCCAAGGACACAACATCTATTTTTAAACACAGCTATAGGAAAATGGGCGTCGAAAAAAGCAGTGAAATGAAAAAATGGATTGGTGTTGTCTGGGCTTCAGAGTGAGCTTTCTCGAACTTTCTACTTTTTCCAATCTTAACGAGGTTGGACCATGTTGGGGTGCGATTACGTTACTATTAATCTGAATCGAAAGTTCTGTCGCATTGATTTTGAAATTCGTAACTTCCATCATGTGGATGTATTTGTACAAAAACTCATTCGAAAGAAAAAATCATTTTCTTTCTAATAACATCTTTGTGGCTCTTGGCGGCAGGAGACTCCAGAGATAAAAATTCGAATAGGAGAACCACATTAACTCTGGAATTTGGAAAATAAATAAATCATCAAAAATTTGAAATGCTGCAAAAAAATTGGAAACATATTTCCAATTTTGTTCCCTAACAGTTTGCATAAGGTGCTCTTTCTAACAGTGTCAAGTTCTTTTCACAAAAATAACTTTTCATAGAAAAGCTCGATCAGCACTGTTAGAAAGAGCAGCTTCACTTAAGCTGTGAGAGAATGTTCCCAAATTTTTCTGCCGTTTCAAATTCTTGCCGATTCATTTTCCAAATTCCAGAGTTAGAGTGGTTCTCCTATTCGATTTTTTTGTCTCTGGAGTCCTTCGTCAAGAAGCCGCGAAGTTGTAATTAGAAAAGAGGTAAATTTTTCTGATTACAGGGTGTCCCAAATATCTTGTAGCTTGAGTTTGCACTGGGTAACTTACAAATAGCTGATGGTTGCTATTTCAAATTCATGCCACAGAATGCTGTTACCATCCTCTACAATTATATGTTCGCAATTCTGAAGTAAACCTCATTCGTGCTTGGAAAAAATGGAGTTTTCAAACTGTTACTTCTAAGGCGCGCAAAAA